CAAATGAAGTACACGGTAATGTGAAGTTACTTAGCCTAATGACCGACATGATCTACTGAATCTAATCAATCAGAATGGGATAACATGATATTAGTTTATAATCAATGACCAGTTAGTGTTATTTGCATCTAAACAATGATATCTCATCTACTGACAGCAACCTTATTGTGTAATTAACCAGAGCAATCATCTCGTTCTTTAGAAGTTGAGTTAACTGACGGTGTACTTTGTTATGAAAGTCACACTTAGTTGTAGGGTTAAAACAATGTTGAGTCAAAGATGATGTCGGTTGAGTTAGTTTCCAGTAAAATTCTGGATCAAAATATCTGGATTATTGATAATTTATATGTTCATAAACTAACATATATAAAGAAATACCATCTATGCGATCAGATACTTAGATAAGGCCTTCATTTGACATAGTTTCCTATGTGATTTTCATAATCTCAACTAAGTAGCTAAGCTATGCAGATTTGATTACTCCAGAGCATTAATGACACTTATTATTAAGAAGATGTTCATAGAAACCCTTAACCCTAGGCTCACTAAGAGAGGCAAATAAAGTACAAGGAATAATGGTACATCGTAGGGTCGAATGAGTGACATCCAATATTTCAGTTATAAACATATACTTTGAAACAAAAGATTTTTATGTGCAATCATCACTGGGTAATTAGTGTATTATATCTTATTTTATCTTACAAACTATTATCTTTCATTGATTATATAGTCTATGCGTTCTGATATTAATCGACCACATTATCTATGCAAACATAAATTACCAAACTTATGACATTACGTTTCCATAATATTTATAGATAACTCAGAGTTCATAGGTAAATTTAATCGCTGACAGTGAACACATCAACTTGTTCACTTCACCAACAATAGATACATAACCTCCGTTTTTTTTCATTTTTTGCACGAGAGTTCTCATTTCCAATCCTCCAAAATACTGGCTATAGGGCAAACTAATAATCAAAAGTAATATTTTCCATAATATTCCATTTAGTACATGTACATCGAGATAATTTAATAAAGGAGTTGTTTTTCTATTAGATATACAAAGATCCGAATGAAACTTAATCAACCTCATTCTGACTGATGTAATCTAAAATCGAACAAATCAATTGTTTTCACAGTTGGAATCACGGATTGTTCTTAGCTAGACTACCACTAGAAACCTGGAAGCACGAGACGGCTGTTTTTTTTTCTAATACGGGACTCCTCGGTGACGCATATCCATGGCCTCGTACTTGAGAACCGAACCAAGGACCGTCAGTTATTGTATGCATTAAATCAGAGGAATCTAACATAAAGATTCATTCCATTGAAGACAATTGATTAACATGAATGATATTCACTGCATACTTAGTCAACAATTTTTGTGGTGTTGGTGGTTATTTTTCCAATTTGGAACTTGAGTTTAATGTACTTGTCAAGAAGTAAGGACAATATCCGTAAAACTGGTCACTTCAGTGTTGATTCGATTTTTTCAATGTCAGAGTGATTTCACAGTTTGTCCAACCATTTGTCTAGTCGTGTTTCGACTAACATTAGTGGTAAAATAATTTAAGGAGGACATGATATATACTTCCTACACCTATTTTTTGATGCATCATTTTAAATGCATACTAGTCAGTGGTTAAAATAATCCCTATTCATATGGTTAACAATAACTCAATTCATTTGAGTTTTGTCATGTAGTTCAACTCTTAAGGTTGCATATCTATAAGGAACGGCCACATTAAATTATTGAATTTATGCATGTAATAGAATATATTACTGGCCAGCCGCAAACTTGCAGATTATTGTTGGTTGGACATTTATTTGATGATAGAAGGCTAACTACTTACAAACGTTTCAGTAGGCAAAAATGTTCAGTAATATTACTTATTTACGCTGCTCACCAGCATTCGCCACCCAACCCTGTCCTGGGCAATCCTTTACAGCTCTTTCCAGTTGTTATTCATCTTTTTCATGTCTGCTTCTAGTTCCCGACGTAATGCCTTGTCTGACTCCGGTCCTTACTTGAAATGCGTCTGTCAGCTGTCCTGCATACACGACCTTGCACTGTAGTCCGTCATATGAGTTCCGGATAATATTGACAATCTTCTCAGGAACTCCGTAGTGTCGAAGAAGTTTCCATAGAGTTCTCCTATCTACACTGTCAAATGCCTTTTCATAATCAATGAAGTTGATGTACAGTGACGAGTTCTACTCAATTTATCGTTCGACGATGATCCGTAGTATCGCAATTTGGTCTGTGCACGACCGATCCTTACGGGATCCAGCTTGTTGATCTCGAAATTGGACGTCTACTGCGTCTTTCATCCGGTTCAGCAACACTTTGTTAAAGACTCTCCCTGGTGCTGACAGTAGTGTAATGCCTCTGTAGTTTTTACATTTACTCAGATATCCTTTCTTTGAAATATTGATGAGGTGTCCTTCTTTCCAGTCCATCGGCACTTATTTCTCCTCCCAAATCTTCTTGAATAGAAGGTAAAGCATGTTCGTAGTGCTTCAGCTGGTATGTTGTCGGGTCCTGGTGCTTTCCCGCTCTCGATTTGTCTGATGGCCATTTCGATTTCTTCGGTCGTTGGTGGATGGGCATATATAGGAAGATCTGTGTGCTGCTTCGATGTCCGATGAATTCATTGAAGCCAGCATATTCAGGATTTCCTCGAAGTACTCTACCCACCTGTTCCGCTGTTGTCGAATTTCAGCGATTGACCTGCATTCTTTGGCCTTGACCGACTTCTCTGATTTACTATATTTCCCTGTCAGCCTTATCGTCGTGTCATATAGTTGTTTTATATTTCCTTCTTTATCAGCTTTTCTCACAGTTGTTGCTAGGTCTTCCACGTATTTCTGCTTTTCAGCTCTAACGCTCGTCTTTACTTGTTTGTTTGCTGTAGTGTATTCAGTTTGTGTCTTGATTTTCTCTGTTCTTGTTCGGCTGTTGTTAAGTGCTATCTTCTTATTTTTCCTTTCTTGAGTCTTGTTCAGGATTTCCACAGAGATCTATTCCTTGTGATGATGCTTCTTGAGACCCAGAACCTCCCGACACGTTGAAGTTAGTACTTCTCTGATCCCTTTCCAATTGTTTTCCATAGTAGTTTCCTCTTCTCCCAGTAGATCTTGTAAGGCTTGGAACCTGTTGTTGAGAGATATCTTGAATTCGTTGGGTTTGTCAGTATCTGGAAGGAAGGCTGTTTCGAACCTTTGTAATGTTGTTTCCCCAGTTGTTCATTACTTCTTTAGCTTCAGTTTCATCTTGGCAACCACCAGTTGGTGGTGATCTGAGGTCATGTCAGCTCCTCTCCTGATTCTCGCATCTTTCGCTGACCTTCTGAATTTTGTAGTGATACAGATATGATTGGTCTGTTTTTCTGTAGAGTGATCCTGTGGGACCCATGTAGCTTTGTGTATGCGTTTGTGAAGGAATATTGTGCCGTCTATAACGATTTCGTTGAATACATATAAGTTTGCAAATCTGTCACCAATCTCGTTACTTTCTCCCAATCTATTTCGTCCCACAATACCTTCATACCCGGCGTTGTCCGTTCCGACTTTGAGGTTTAGGTCTCCTATAAGGATAGTCAGGTCTTTTCTTGAGCACCTCGCTATGATCGGTTGCAGCCTCTCGTAAAACTGATCTTTGTCGTCTTCATTGTTAGGATTGGTAGGTGAATAATATTGGATAACATTCATTGTGATTCCTTTCTTTTTTGTTTCGATTGATGTTTTGATGATTCTGAATCCATGAGATTCCCATCCTATAAGTACATTTAGTGCTTTTTTGGACAGCATCAGAGCAAATCACTAAGTTTGTGGAGCACTTTCTTCTTTGTGACTCGAGTAAAACAGCATCTCTCTCGAATTTATCCTTTTCTGTCCAGCTTGGGTTCAATGGGTTTTACTTATTCCAAGAACCGCCAAGTTGTATCTCCTCATTTCCGTTGCCATTTGACTGGTCTTCCCGGGCTTCCACATTGTCCGGATGTTCCATGTGCCTATAAAAATTGTTTCTCTGGTTGTTAGAAAAGGCATCGGCCTCGTGGCTTCCGAAGGAGCTCGGCTTTCACCATGAGGCGTCATATTTCTTCTAAATGAAGACCTTATAACTCCCAGGGCAGAGTTTCAATGGCTTGAATTATTTTTTCTAGTTAGCGTTTTTTTATAGAGTTAGTTTTCTACGGCATGGGGTCGCTAACCCCATGTCCAACCCTCGTGCCGGTCCCGGACTTTTGACCGGCAGTAGCTCTAGAAGAGCTACAGGCGGAGTAATCATGAATATTAGATAAACTAATTTACCAATAATGAACAAAGGCGACAGTGTCCATTTAAGCGATCTGTACATAACGTGCTACTTAAATGATTATTATTAGTAAGTTCTTGAAAAAGAAAACATTCGCACAATTTATTTTAAAATGAATGTTTCTATCGCGATTACATGTTCAAAATATACGGTATGCTAAGTGCGCAGACATCCGACTAATTTCCAAAATTTAGGCTGGTTACTTTCTCCTGAAATTTATATAGATTTATGGGTACAGTAAATTCTAGGTGAAAGTACAAACTTTAAGAAGCAAATAAACCGGCTATCGTAATTTAGATAACGGACAGATCTTAGATTCAAAGTTACACAAACATAGGAGTAAATAATTCCAGTCAATAAGCCTCTATCAGGACTTAATATGGACATGAAATTCCAACTAATGAAACATCTTTGCGAATTCACTTGCTAGATATTTTCAATCCATCACATTATGCGCCGATATGGAGTGGTAAGTTTTCAGGACCAAACTATCTATAGTTATGAAACAAAATACCTTTCTTAAGCTTGAAGAAATATTCACTAAGTTCATTTTTTTCAAGGAAGAGAAGTTATCTTCAGGACGGATTTAAAACCCAACCTTAATATGAATCAAGAAGTACCATTTGGAACAGTAGTCATTGTCATTCTAATAATATTATTAATAAGAATAGAACCTAGTGTTTTCCTTTCAGTGATTTTCTTGAAAAATAACTTCAAGAGTAATTGACAGAATAAACCGTGAAAAATAGAATGAATATCATCTGATTAAATTTTGAATTAAAAGGAATTGTTTGAAATATTGACAAAGTAACATGATTCCAAATTCCTAGGGAATATTTGTTTAATAAAAATCGTAAATGGAGAAGGTAACCAAATTGTTTATTGGTCGATTGGTTATTTTTAAATTGATTAAACTTGTAATAGTAAGGCGACACCACCTAAAATCCAACGTGATGGTTTTTCTTTAGTTTTCAGATTAAATGTCCATACATAAGTAGGCCCACGTTGTTTTGTTTTATATACTGGACAAGCATATGTATTTCGTAAATCTTGTCTGTCAACAGGTATAGCTTTTAAAAAGATCACTGGTAGACTTGGTGCTAATTCTTTCAGTCGAGCTTCAGCTATCATATTAGTTTGTATATCCCATCTAGCACCTTCCATAAACAGACCATATATATAGGCACCTTCTCTTGGTGGTGCACTCATTTCATCTTTTGTCTTTTTAGTTACATCACATTGAAGCACCATACGATCTAATGGCCATTCATTTTTTCTTGCTGTCTGTTGCATAATAGCTGTTAAAAACGATTGCGGATTAAATAATCCACCTAGCCAAACAGTATTAGGTAAAGAAAAATCATTTGTCCAAACTTCTAATTCTTTGACTCTAGACAGCATATCAGCATACCAGATGCCAAGGGGATACATACTTGGATAAGCTCGTTTCTCCCATTGAGCCGGTACATTATCTATAACAAGTGAATTAGCTAACTCTTCCATTTCTGGTGTTGTAGTCAATTCACCTTTTAAACCAAGTATTAGTTCCTTTAATGATCTACGCATTTCTTTTATTAAAATATTAAAACGTTCACATTCTTGAAAAGCAACTACAACATATGGTGTACGTTCTTCCGGTGGAACTTTACTTTGCAATTCTAACATATTAAAATCTTCCGGTAATTTTTCAATAATTTCATCGAGAACATTTTGTAGTTTCTCCTCTCTACTTATTCCTGTACCACTACCAGCGCCAGCATCACGTGGTTGCATTTCAAAAATAGTACGAAACAGTTTTTCTGATGTATTTGTTAGGAATTCCATCTCAGCATTTGGATGTAAACCGTACAGGTACGGTGATTCTGGTGGTAAAAGTTCATCAATATACTGGTGATAACCTTTATAATCTGTATTTTGTGGTGTTTTAAAGTTTGGTGCTAAACAATGATCACCATCTAACATTTCCGGCACTAAATATTCTTCTAAATATGTTTTACATAAACGACGATCCCAATCATCTGTAATATGCCCACCATACATGATATCACCGAACAAATATCTTAAATCTTCCCATGGTACTTTGCTATTTGCTTCTAAATAATTATATAATACACTGACACTGATAGTTAAATCACCTGTATTAAATGGATATATACGATTCCAACCTTGTGGACCAAATTTACGTCTTTCACAAACAACAGCATGAAAATAACATAGACCAAATAGAATTGTTTTAAATTCATTCTCACGACTACACATTTCAAGTGTATCTTGATTGAAATTATTTAACGCTTTGTGTAAATTAGCATGCATACCAGTTGGTGGTTCATTTGTGATTTTGATAGCATTCTCTAATATACCTTGTGGTATGATATGATATTCTGGATCAGCGGCTGGTTCAGCACTGACAAATAATCTATAATTTGCATGTCCCTTTTCAGCAGCTTCTTCCATTAATTTCTCTAACGTTGGCAACCATTTAGCAACTAAGTGAACATTTTGTAATACGACCCAGTGGCCTTCTTTTGAAGCCAACTCCATAGCTTTTGATGCTACAACCTCTTGGCCTTGACCTAGAGAAACATTGTGAAAATTTTGATTATCTCCAGTAAAACCAAGTTTACGACCAAGTGCTTCAACCTCTTTCAATGGATCGACACCAGGAGACAATATAAAGAAAATTGGTATAGATGGGCCAGATTCTTCAAATGATTTGACAAATGATAGACCACCACCTTCGGTATACTTTTGACCTAGTTTTTGTCCAACAAAATCAGTTATAGCATAAGTCATACGATCTGGTCGTAAAGCACGGAATATACACAATATTTGTAATGGTGTTTTACTTTTCCATTCTTGTGGTAGTTTCTCTTTTTCTGGTGCTTCACCTTCAACTAATTTTTTCCAGCGTTTAGCTGAACCTTCAATATCTTTATCCAAATTACGAAATGCTTCCATATTTGATAATGCTTTAATCCCACCCCAACCATTATTTGTAATAAAGTCAACTGGGGATGTTAAATTCGGTATAATTGGGAATCTTAGTAAAAAGTCTAATTCTACTGGATCGATTTCATTGGATACTGATAATATTTGAAATGTCATTTGTGCAGTAAATATTAATTTATCTTTTTCAAATAGGCCTCTTGATGTATACATATAAACAGAATAAGTAATTGAATCAAGTAAATTTTTAACCCGTGTTTGTATATCTTCAGATGCTTCCGATCTATCCATAGCCACTTCAAATACACTACGAAACGCTTTCAATGAAAATTGATACATTGGATTAATTTTATTTAAATCATTCAATATAAAATATAATAATGATGCACGACACGCTGCTGGACGGTATAATTCACGTGCTTCATTAATTTGAACTTCAGTAATTTTAGCTTGTGCAACTTTTTCCACAATTTCTATAGCTGTGCGTTTATTTGTTTCTAAGTTTTCAACTAGTGCATAGTCTCCAAGAAAATTGCCTTCCGCCGCTGATAATCTGGCTAATAAACTATCTTCTAATTGTTTTAATGTAATTTTAAATTGATTTTGTTGTCGTGTTAAATCAGCTTTTAAGTGTTCCAAATCTGGACGTTCTTTACTGACAACACTAGCTAATAATTGATCTTCTAAACCGTCACGTGTTACAGTAAAGTTAATTAGTGTAGTTTGTGCTTGCATTTCTGGTTTATAATGCGGATTAGCTAATTTTGTTTGTAAAATTAAACGAAATTCTGGACTGTATTCAATTTCTTTATCACCAAGACGGATTGCTCTACCTTTTTTAATTGTTTTTCTACCCAATAACGAATCTAACACAGGATCGACAGACTCTTCAATATTTTCTAATAAAACTGTATCACCAGACGATATGGCACGTTCAATTTGGTCTAAATAACCTTTTGAACCTAAGCGTATTACCTTTAAATCCGTCGCATAACGTGTTTTAATCCATTTTACACCTTGTAATTGTGGATCAATCATCAATGGCCAACGTTCAGCATTAGTTAAAATAGTAGCATTTTCAATAGACATTCTATCAGACGGTAGACCTTCATTATTCCATGCAGCTATAACTGCATCATCAATTAACATATCTAATGGATCTAAACCATCTGTAATCGGTATTGATGGATTAATTGATTTTAAAAACGGTATCCAATGTTGATCAAGTAGTTCAGTACGATAACGTTTTGTAAAACAGCCAACATAAGATAAAAATGCCGCAGTTAATAAAATATCACCAGGTAATGTAATGGCCTGTTCCTTATATTGTTTCACTTGTTGTGCCCAACGTATTTTCTCTGATGCTAAACCACCAACTAAACGGTTAGCTAATTCAATTGTTTTATATGTTAATTCTGCTTCATCTTGACATTTTTGTTTTTCCATGGTAGCTGTTTCGAATTCATCTGTTAATTTTTTTAATTTTTCTTCTAAATCTTTAATCTTTTTCTGAATAGTTTCTAATTTTTCAGTTGCTTGACGTAATTCTTCATTCGCTGCATTTAATGCATCACGTTTTGGTTTTACATCACAATAAATATTATAAAATTGTACAATATTAATAACCCATGAACATAGACCAGCCGCTGCTGTTGATTTATTACGAATAAATTCTGGATCGAATTCAGGATCTTTTAAATATTCTTGTACAGCTTTTAAACAATTCTCATGAATATTTTCTTTGTCATAATTAATTAAATTATCTAAAAATAAATCAACTTTACTCATTATACCGGCTTTTGAAGCTTTCCAACTACGATCTTTTGGTATTTTACCATCTGGTGCTAATAAAACCATAACAGCCGCTGTCACATTAATTACAGCCGCTGGCGGTGAACCAAATGATTTCATTTCAGTTAAATTATTTTTATTCAATGTGTTCAATGCTTCTTGTGCTGCTAATAATGCTGGTTCAGCTTTAGCTAAATCAACTTCACAATCTTTTTGTTTTTTTGATACTTCAATTTTAATTTTAGCAACTTTTTCTTCTTCTTGATTTGCAAATAATTTTTCACCTTTAACTTTTTCAGTTTCCGCGCCAACAATTGTTAATAATTTATTAGCATCTTCATTTTTCTGTGCTAATTCCACTTCCTGCGCTGCTAATTTTGCTTTTAAATCATCCACTTGCTGCGAAGTACTTTCTAATTTTTGTAAACCATTTTCTAAGCGTGTCATTTTATTAACTAAATCAGTATATTTTTGATTTAACATATTTTCATATAGTTGTATTTGTTCTAAGAATGATTTTGGTGTTGTATAATTGTAACGACGTTCATTCTGTAAATAAGTAATACTTATATCATTAACTGATTGATGTGTAAATGACATGAATTCTGCAACAGATGGTCGAATATTTTCCGGTAGTAATTCTATACTACTTAAAAATCGTTTTGATACTGATAATAAGGCTTCTTTAGGCCATTCATGAAACCAGTCAATTGAAGTACAATTAACAATAGCTGGAAATTTTCTCGCTCTGACACGTAATGTTGCACCAACTGGTGAAAAGCACAACACCACTTTTAACAAACGACGTACTTTATCAATGAAATAACTCCAACAATTTTCACGTGTATCTTGTATACCTTGCGATTTAACTTCTCCACGCATCCCATTAATTACATTTTCGACTTCATCATCAGGCAATAATTCTGGTATATCACCGGATGCTAATAAATCGTTGATAAGTACCAAAAATTTCTCTTCAGTAATTTGACTGTCGGTTAATAAGAAAACAGTACCAGTATTTTTTAATCCAGCTTTTAAATAAAGATTAGCTAGATCAGCTTTCAAATCAGTAATTGCATAACCTTTACGTAATGTAATTTGAAACACTTCTAATGAACTAATAAATGCAGCTAGTCTTGATAAAGATTGTTTACCGGAACCGCCGACACCAATTAATAATGCATTACCACGTGGTGATTCTAATATACGACTAATACGTAATATATGGGAAATAGCATCTTCAAATAAAACCAAATTCATTACAGCATTTAATTCATTATAATTGTCCAATGCTTCATTTAATAATTTATTTAAATCATTCATATTCGTTACTGGTAAATATTTTGGTTCACCAATACCTTGTGTGAAATGACAATACATATTTGGCTTACTAAATAATATACTTTCATCGATATCTTCAAAACATTTTTTAGTGATATCTATTAAAATTTTCTGAAATGACTCAACATCTTCACGTTCAATTAGTTTATCCGAGTAAACTCGTTCACATTCATGCATCCACAAACGTATTAGATCAGTCGGCTGACGAATACATTCATTAGTTGAAAATAATAAACCCTGTATAATATGACGAAAAGAAAGAATTAAACCATACAAGTAAAGAAAAGTGTAGTACATATTGTATAATGGCCCATTTTATAGAAGATGGTTGCACGATATCTTGAATAGACTGAAGTTAGACATGTACACTACTGGACTTTAGCTTAGTGGTCTAAAAGTTGAATACTCAAGGAGACACTGGAGTTCCTAGGTTAGATCACCGGTGAAATCGTGGGTGTGCACTACAGAGAAGTCCCATACTAGGATGAAGCAGCTGTTCAGTGCTTCCTGGTTTTAAATAATTCTTTAGCTAGGACCAGTCCGAAATTCAATCTATAGAAATATACCTGAGGTAATTTCATTGAGAGCCAGAGAGCAAGGAAACTGTTTTGTCCCAGTTTTGATACTCCATAGCAGCGTACACGCTCGATAAGTTGTGTTATCATATTAAAAAACTTTTATATTTTATCCTTACTCGGTACTTTTCACCAACTATCTATCTAGTTAGCTTTTCTCAATTCACTTCCTTTCTATTTAATTTAAATATCTTTCTACTTTCATTGATTTTTACTTTTTGTGATATAATTCAACGCGAAATTTTGGAGTAATTTGCTTTTTTTGTAAAATTCTGCACGGTTGTGTTTGTCATCCGGATCACCAAAAAGATTTAAATTCAGAAGAAATCAGTAGATTTCTTCAGTGTGCCTCATCTGCTGACAAAGTCTGATCAATATTCGGTTCTGAATATTAAAAATGAAGAAATAAAAATATTTGCGATGAATGTTAAATAATCCCAGTTCATTTTAGTAAAGTTGGATTGTAGCTAGCAGTAGAATTCAGTACATGCGATTCATTCTATTTGAGACTCATAAGTTGAATAAACCTACATTCTAGGGTTAGGTTTTTCACTGAGACTCAACCCCAGTACTTTTCTCTTGAAGTACTATAACGTTTTCCAATGAGCTGTCGTGTTCTAACTTATTCAACGAGTATGAACTTATTTGTAGGAGTTTGGATTTTTCACATCATTGATATTATGAACTATAATTCATCAGTTTGTATTCGCATATGAGCACCATGATAAAAATTACTTTGATATTGTCATTTAGTCAACATTTTTGGAAAAGGTGGATAGAAAAAAAAGTCATCTAATTAAAAACTTACTTGAAATATATTGGATAAATCACGCAAATTAAATATATAATGAAATTTGATTGCAGTTGGTAAAAATACACTAGCCACTTTAGCATGTAATAATAATGCACAGTCAACAACATTTACGGCGAACTTTTGTAAAGCTGTGGAACAATTAATTAATCCCAAATGTTGTGTTAGTATAGATGAATAGATTATTTTCAATGCTTCTTGACCAGGAAAACTTAATCCAAATACACAAAAATGCCTCTAAATGGGAGGAAATTAAAATACAAAAATATATTATGCGAACAAATTTTGTGTTTCTAGAAATGGATAGAATATTTATGATTTTCATGAGCAGAGCTTCTATGAAATAATGTCGACAAGAACCACAGAGAATCTCAAAGCTAAGCTGAGATAACCATTTAGAGATGAGTTTTTTCAGTGATACTTCAGACAATATGAGTTTATAATGACAAGAAGTCGAAAACCGAACTAATCGCTATAAATTGCATTCCGTAATAACAACAAAATAGTGTATTCATTTCAAAATAAACCATTTGACCTAAAATTATCTAACCTGATAAACAGAAATGAATCTAGGAGTTAATAATGGTTAAATAATTTCGATATTCATATTCAATACAAAAATTAGAGTGGGATAAAAACCAGAGTCTCAATCAAACAAACAACAGTAGCGTTCAAGATTATCCTTTGTCTAATACGCTATCAAAGATATGGAAATTGAGTGATTATCATTTCATAATGCATTGCAGTCATTCGATATAGGTACTGATTCTACAAGTACTATGTACTTAAAAAATATGGATGTAAGTCTGCTATATATTGTTTAGTTTCGTTATCAAAATTTACAAAAAAATGATTCAATGGATACATTTTTCATTTAAAAAAGTCTTTATTGTATAATAGTAAACTGAAGGTTTTCAGAATATTAATTCATATAAATCTGGACACAAAGTAGTTTGGAGACATGATTTTAAGATGCATGAATGAGAAACTAAGTAGGACAATGCTAATTTGCTTCATTTGAATGTTTTTTTTTCACCATAAATTGATGTTAGTTGAGGGACTGTTGAAATCTAAGAGACAGTGGACACCGATATGGTCTGGTCTGGAAATTTTTCAACATGGCATTTACTGATTCTTATCCTAGTTTGAACTTAAAACTTGCATCATTTAGCTAAATCTACCAAATTCAGTCGGTTTTTTGTTATAATGGGTATCTATCTTCACTACAGTAATTGATGGCTCGAATACTTATGAATCTTCGTGTTATGACTATATATTATTTCACTAAATCATTAAAATTGAAAAGTTTGCTAGGCAACAAACACCTTACAGAGTTAGAGGATATAAATGGTATACTTCTATAGATAGTGATGTACCACGTCATCGACGTTGCTCACTAACTTTAACCATTAGTTTATTTCTTCGGATAAACTTGGAAATCGGAAATCTCAGTTGTATATCTCCTTAATAAGCGAGTCATTTTTACCTCTCACTTTACAACTTTAATATAAACCTATTCATCTTCAAAAATCTGGTGATTCAATGACGGTTAAATTTAACCGTTTACTGCAAGAAAAATTAGATAATTTAAGTTCTCGTATTGTTAAAATAAACGGATATAAAACAAATTATTTTTATTTTAATTTATTCTCACTTTTTCCTATTTTAGTCAGTTAGTCATAGGCAGTGTAAGACCTTACAAGAATATGTATCGGTTCACATTTTCACGTCAACACACCATATGATTGTATAATATTAACTCACTCAGTATTCCATGCAAGTGTATTGTAGATATAAACAGGTTTCGAGTAAATAACTAAATTTACTTTTTTTCCATCATAATCAGCTGATAATAATAGTGCATATGATAATTTGACTAGTTCAAGTCCAACTGTAATAGCATCAAATGATATATTATGACAATATCTATTTATAAACTTTCATATGTTTTCTTATCAATTTATAGAAAGATTCTTCGCTTGCCCCACAAACTCTCAATTCTAGTCTATTTTCAGAATATTTTACATTTGTTATTGCAAAGCTGTAGTGTACTTTTATTTTACATATCTTTATGAATTCAATGCGAAATCTTTGCCTACAATTGTTATTTACTGAGCCGTGTGGCTAGATGAAGGCTATCTGGTTGGGATCTGCTAGATAACCGTGATCAGTGAGTGGAGAATTCAGGTGACACGGATCAGGTGCATTGATCTTTTATCTTCCTCTTTAAATTGAATTTCAGCATTCCTTCATGAATAACTTTTTACCCAGTATTCAGAACCATATTCTCAATATTTATTTTTCTGCATTATCATTGCAATCATATTATTTAGACCTTGTTATTTCTATCTCGTTGAGCTAATGCAGTATGGCAACTTGGGCCAAAGTAAACGTGCTCTAGGTTTGACGTTGATGAAGACTGATTAGTTGATTTACTGACGTTCAAGTGAATGAGATGAAAACTTTTTAAAACTATACACAATATAATCACCTAAACTTCCATGTGAGTCAGTCTATGATTATAAAATGCACTTGAGTCATTCATACTATAAAATTCTTCATTGTTCAATCAGTCAAAAGCTAATTATGATCACATGATTTTGCCTTATATTATAATACTGGTGACGGTAAATTTTATTTTCCAAAATATTAGTTTTAATAGATAAACAAATAGATCGTTACCATAACAATTTATTTAGAGAACAGTGAAAAATATTGGTATACTTGAGATAAATATCACTGTTAAATCGCATTGTGATTACAGATTCTAGTGTATTTCTGAAGAAGAATATGGAAGTTGGAACTCCCAATTGATAAATCAGTCGATGAATTTTCAGTCATCATAACAGAAAACTCAGATCGAATCAATAAGCTATCCATTGTTTCAAATTCACATTGAGTACCAACAGAATGCTCAGTACATTTATTGATTTCAGGTTTAAAAAACTCTAAAACCTTTTAAAAATCCCGAATGAACTCATAACTCAATAGCTTACTAGTTCTTTAATACCTAAAAATAAAATAAGATCATGTGAACTACTGATGTTGTCAGCTACTAAGTAAAGACTGAATGTTCGATAGTTATAGTGTCATCGGTCAAATTATATGATATGTTTGGGCAAAAGAGGAATTTTCCATACGATTTTCTGTTCATTTAAAAAAATTATGCAACCGCAAAAGTATATCTCAATTGTTATATCACTACTAATACTTCAATATACAGAAGTGCTTGGATGATTCAGTGTAACAAACAAATAAAAAGTCACAGATGACAAAATGTTTGCTGATTTCAATAAGGGAGAATACTACAGATTAAATCATACACAAAATTCTGTTGGCGAAATCTTTCAAAGAAATTTATCTTCGTCGGCTAGAAGATTCTTTATTTTACCAGCCAATTTTAAGTTCAACGACCTTAACCACGTATGATGTAACACATAACTATGAGGTGCATGTATTAACTAATGTTGAAAGTTATCATATGGCATTCTTAACTTCCATCACTGTTAATCTGTCATTGTGCAACATAAATTTGGGATGCTTACACGGTTTGTGATTAATTGATTCAGTCACTTAGGTGATTACCCAGGATTGTTGTTAAAAAGGTACTTCACTTTTCAGCTTCATTCAATACTTGAGAAGTTAGTGAAATATTATACCGAATTACAAAACAGTTTTTCAACAAAAAAAGAGAGTCTTTCTACCTACTTGTAATCTTGGATCAATAGTAAAACTACCGGATGTTGGGTTCATGCACGCCACATATTGAGTATTATTGATTTCCTTTAATGTCAACTTTGTTCTATCATACCAATGTGAATGATCAATATGTTGTCTTATTAAACAATGTGGTTGTACTGTAAAATAAGTATCAACTTCCGGCATATTTAAATCATCAATAAAATAGATTAAACGTTTGTTACCAGGTGGACCATAATTCCGACCAGCTTTTTTCTCTAATGGTTTCTCTAAAACACGTTGAAGCATTTCACTTGTTGTATAAAAATTAAATGGTACATTCGTAATCATAATATCTTCGTTAAAACTGGAGAATGTATCTTGTACAAGTACTGTTTTACCAGTGCCTGCATTACCAACTAACATAACAGGGCGTTTACGTTGTAGTAGTAAATCTAAAAAGTAACGTAAACGAGTTGTTTCCGTTGTAGGTACCAACATGGCCTAGAAGTAAATAAGAACACCAATAAGTTTTATCGAATCCATCAGTTTGTTTGACATTATATGATGAAGACAAAATCGCACAACCAGTCAAAACGCTCAATAATCAGATTAAGTTAAATCTACTGAGCTTTTTCAGTGAACTTTCACCAAACTCCACACTTAAATTAATATAAATAGAGCAGCAAATGGTTCCCTTTATGAATTTAAATAGAGCAAGGGAACCAAGGGAACCAATTGCATGAAACTTCTTAAATTAATAGTTTAAAAGAATAACCAGATTTAAAGTATATAGATCGTCTAAAATTATTCCATAAACTCAGGTTATAACTTTCCAACAAAGTTTGCCAAAGGGTTTATTCTGAAGAGATTGTCCATTAATATCCCGTCTTTTTATGTTCGCTCGTTAATAATTAAGGTTTATTTACTTACATAGTTGGGTATTCGAGTCCGTTGAACCGGCTGAGAGAATTTTCTGTGATCAAATAGGTTTAAAATACAAGACTACAAATCAAACCATGCTTTCAGGACTATCTAAGCCCCATCGGATTAAACTAATTTGATTGAAAAAGGGTAGGTAGGAGGTAAACAGTGGTCATCTCATTGGCTTGGCTTGAGAAGAGAGGAAATGAGATAAAGTTCGTACAAGCGAATCAGATTAATACTTCCGAAAAGTCTAAAATTGAGGAAATTTAAGTCGATTCCCCACCACCCTCCCTTTAGGAAGTATGTTAGCCATAAATGAAATTGTAAGATCAGAATAAACATTAATAACGGAGTGAGAGAAATGATAACAACTACAAGTCAAACCGAAACTCCGAGGAAAAATTACATAGAGTAGGGGGTGACATGATTCCGGTGGGAAATAAAAAGGTGGGGGGAGTGGCAACTAGATTATTCATGGGTTTGGAGGATTAATAAATGATGACATCACAAAGGTATATGTTTAATGGTAATAACAATGACAGTAATGCTTGAGTATGATTAATTTTAAGCTAGGAATATACAAAAGGGGGGATTGAATATACATTATTCAAATAGGCTCATTCTATAGTTAAGATTACTATTGATTTATAGGCCATAAGGTTGGCCAAAGTAAGAGGAGTTGAATATATTTCTTTTGAACACGACTCCAGTTGTGACGATTGGTGATCATAAGCGTAAAAACAGGCCACTAAAACAAACTCGGAAACTTACGAATAAAGTTGATAAATAAACCTATGCGATGTACTATAACTTACTTGTAGTGGAAGTTCCGGGTCTAATTCAAACACTGGTAATTTCTTCGACCATAGTTCAAATTTCTTACTCACAGGATCGATGAAATAATCAAATACAATACCATTTGTTGGAAATTTGACACTTTTAAATTCAGTTACCCACCATTTACTAAATTCCACACGATGATCAACTAACTGATCTTGAAATAGTGATCCACCGAATGCCCAAACAGCACAAAATACAAAGTATAATTCATATAATTCCTTCGGACAATCTGGTGGTGTAGTTTCTGGTGTTAAATGACAATCAAGTAAGTAGCATAGCATTTGTACATGAGCAATTTCAGTAATTGGTGTGATTTTTTTAAAACGTGAACGTAACACTTCTAAACACGGTGGGACATATTTATCAAAAAGAATTTGTAAATTAGCCTGTTCCGATTGTAGTTCACGCGCAGCTAACCAACTGGATATAAATGGAGTTGTACCAAGATCCTATAAATCGACAGCAGAAAACAATAAAGAATTGAATTTATCATTGGAGAATGTTTTCTTCAGATAATTGTTGGGTCATCATCAGCTGTTCGATATTGGATAATGATGATGATAATTATGCTTGGGTCTCATAAACGGTCAAAATTATCAAAGGTCATCTCAAACCTATTGAACTTTGCTTCTCTTATTGTCATCCAAAAGTTTAAATCAAATGTATATTAAAAGGTATACCACTTTCAATCAATCATTACTTTCACGATTTCAGTATTCAGTGGTTTTACTAAGTTAATATTTCATCCCTTGAGATTATTTTTATTACTCTTAACACTATTTAGTTTTTCGTTCTTACTGTTACTTTTCTGTTGAATTTAAAATAGTCTATGAAATTAATTTCCAAATTATACCTACTCATTGTCTTTATGTGCTTTGTCTCTGTAGAATATTTACTGACGTCGTAGATGTAATGAAATTTTGATTTTTTTATTACCGTTGATTATTCAACACTTATTTTACTATCAGCAGGAGTTTTGTGGAGATTTTAGAAATTTCACTGATTGAAATCATGAGTCAATCGAAGCTAGACCACCATGGAAAACCTGGAAGTACTGCACGGCCGTCTCGTTCTAGTATGGGACTCCTCAGCAGTGCGCATTCTCGATCCCGCCCCCACGAGATTCGAACCCACGACCTATCAGTCTCGCACCAGGAGCTTAACATTAACATTGACACCGTTGGGTGCCGGCTCAGTGGTCTAGTTGGTTAAGCTCCTGGCGCGAGACTGGTAGGTCGTGGGTTCGAATCTCGTGGGGGCGGGATCGAGAATGCGCACTGCTGAGGAGTCCCATACTAGGACGAGACGGCCGTGCAGTACTTCCAGGTTTTCCATGGTGGTCTAGCTTCGATTGACGCATGATTTCAATCAGTGAAACTTATGTTATTGTCTACCATGATTTGTACGTTTTCGAAAAAAGTGATCAAAGTTTTGGTATATTTTTTCCTTAATAACCAACATTAATGCTTTAGGTTGTAAACCTGTAAGGAGAATATTGTGATATAAACAAAAGACTCTACTATAATTGTAACTGTCACTGTTGTTTCAACAGTAAGAAGTTGTTGTGTTTCTTTTGATGGGTCAAGTATGAAAATAATTCATGCAAAGAGATTTCAAGTAGAAATGAAAAATTCTAATTGACTAATATACATCCCTCAGAAGCTATTGGAAAAGAGATATATTACAGTCTAATAGATAAAATGTTTATGAATAGATAAGAAAAATTAAATATTAACATCAATTTAAAAATTACTTGTGGATTGATGTATAAAATTCCAGCTCGTGAAACAGTAGCCGGAGTAGCTGTTTTCAAATGACTTATTTCAAATAACAAACGCATTGTAGGCGTTAATGGAATACGCTCATTACTCGACAATGTTAAAACTTTATTATCATCCATCACTGTATTTAATGATTCAATCCACATTGGGTCGATATCACCATCGAGTACAATCCATTTAGGTCCATCATGTGTTAAATTAGCTAAATCTCTCATAATCACAGAGAATAAACCATCTTTCCATTCACGTGTAGCTGGATTGATAATACCGAACAGTTCATCATTTGTAACAGCCTTTGGATCTAAATCAACAGCTACTGGTTTCTTTTTCATGTTCAAATTTGTACGATATAATGTTTTCCATACCATAGATTTACCTGTACCAGCATTCCCTAATACAAATACTGAATGTCTTACAGCGAATAACTCTTGCAGTTGTATAGCTTTCAATATAAAACTATCTTCAGCTTGTAATTTCAAATCAATTGCAGCTTGTTTAACTTGTTTTTCAAGTTCTAAATCACGTTTTCTAGGTACATCTAACGCTGGGAATAAATCACCAATTAAACCCATAAATACAGGTAAATCATCAGTGACGATTTTAGGTATATTAAAATCACGTAATGCACGCATAAGTACTTGATCTTCTGGTCGACCGGGATCACTACGTTTCAATGCACCAGCCACGACTAATACAGATTTAATAGCTCTTAAACCCCAATCATAATGGTCTTGTTTCGACAATAATTCTTTGCATAATTTATATAAGGTTAAAAATTTTCTAGCCAACAATCTAGCATCGGTAAAACCTTCAGCAACTAACATAATTTCACAAATTAATTCAAAATCTGGCACAACCATAGCACATGGACGAAACAAAGCTTTTAAATTCTCCGGTAATTCAGCACGTCCAGCGTAACCAGGATTCATCGTGATAAACAAACCAACTGTTGGATCTAAACTAATCTCTTCACCAAGAAAGTTAAATCGTTTCTTTTTATCTCTTATTGCATCTTGTATACATTTCACTTGTACGGCGACAACAGATAAAACTTCAACTGAAATACGATTGAATTCATCAAAACAACCCCATGCACCAGATTGAGCTAAACCTTTATAAATGTTACCAATGGACTTATAGTCCATTTGTTCTGAACAATTAAATACATACACCATAATACCTAATGCACGACCTAAATCTTTTGTTGTTTCTGTTTTACCTGTGCCAGCTGGACCAGCTGGTGCACCACTCATTGTTAAATGTAATGATTGTGTTAATGTAATATAACAACGATCTGTTAATGGTGTTATTACTAATCTTGGTGTATTACCTAAATATTCATGAGCATAACGAAATTGTGCATCACAAATATTAATGAAACAATCTTGTTGTTTTTCATCCCAACGATGTCTTAATTGGCTAATCCATGTAAATGATAATGCATTATCAATTTTTTGACTAATTAATTTGCTAACTACATCACGATTATGTACATCAATGGTACAGATAGTCATGACTTTTTGACGATCTTGTGAATTCAGTTCACCAATTAATAATGTGATCAATGCATTTAATTGTTGTATTTGTTTTTTATTATAATCTTTCAGTGCATTTTCATAGCCTTCTTCTAGTCTAGCAAAATTTATATTAACTTCTGTTGTCCAACCAATTTGTGAACCAGCTAATGATACTTGAGCTGGGTAGTCAAATAACCACTGATCACGGGATTTTTCTTCATATGTTGATACAGCTTCTGATAAATAATAACGTATTGTAGCACGCATTTCATCTAATAATTTATTTAACCATACTTCAACTTGTCCATCTAAATTTACATCTTTTGATAATTTAACTTGTTCGCCATCTTTAGCTCCCATATGATATGCAATTTTTGAGTTTCCTTTATTACCATCAGGACGAAATTTCAATGAAGCCATTGAATCAAATAGTTTAGTTAAATGTTTAGTAACTTGTTCTGGTATATTACCATTTGATAAGATATCTAATAAATCAGTTGGTGATACAAAATAAAATCGTGGGAATGCTAAACGTTTAGTTTCTAAATACTCGGCTAATGCTTTTTCACACAAAGTTAAATCTTTTTGTATTAACTCTAAACGTTCATACAAACGTGGTCGACTTGTTGCTTTAATCACATTGCGATCATTACCGATTTCATGAATTAATTGACGAAAATCACGATCAATTCCATCAAATCTTAAAGAATCTTGTGGTAGTTGTTTACGTATATCTTCAGAACCAATAAATATCGATTCTAAATGTGACCATGTACGTTGTACTTCAAACCAAATAGTAATCACTTGGTCAGCAGTAGATAATCTTTTTTGCCATAATGATACGTCATCAAGAAAATACGCAATATATTTGGATGTCATCATATTTTGTAATTGTACTTGATTTTCTTCAAGTGTTTCAATTAATTCTTCAGTTGCTTTCAATAAAATCAAATTTGTACGTGAATGTGTTTCTTGCTCAAATGTCATTTGTGACCACGTTGCATTGATTTCTTTTAATACTTTCTCCATACTCATTTCTTTTACAGATTTATCAACTAAATTACGTACTTCATCTTCATATTCATGTAAATTTAATGATAATAAGTCCATTAATGTAGTACTTTCAGTCATTTGGAATCTCACACCAGTAGCTTTCATTAATTGTATCCAATGTCGATCACGTATTGCTGGATTTTGTAATTCACTTACTGCTCTTAATGATGTTAACATATTTTTAACTTTTTCTTCTATACCAATATATGCATCCCATGCACGCATTTCTTTATCTAAACCACGTAAATCTTTGGCAAATTTTTTACAGTCTAAATCTAATTGTTCAACATTTATTGTACGCCATGGACTCAATGTCCAATTATGTATACTTGTTTGGATTAAATGAATATAGTCCCATAATATTTTCAATAGTTTTAATTCTTTACGACATTGTTTAATTTGTTTAAATTCGGGGACATTCACTTCAAATAAACTAGCTGATGTAAGAAGATTTGACATTTCGTTTTCCAATAATAATAAACTTTGATGATTCTATTATATAAATAAAACAATGAACAAAAGACAGAACAAAATAACAAACAAGTTATTGAATAAGTCGGTGAGAGGTTATGGTAAAAAAACTAGTTGAACACTGAACAATTTGAAATAATCCAACAATAAAGAGATAGATTTTATGGTTAGTAATAAAAAAATATTCCCATTTTTATACGAGAAATTTACTTACACTGGGTATTCCAGATTTAAAAAAATAACAGTGAATCAACCTCAAGGATTGAGTTGAAAAACTGAAACATTAGAGATCGTATTTGTCCTGAGACTTGAATAACATGCGTTCTATCCTGTGTAATAATCTTGAGCGAGAATTGTCGATGAGTCCCAAATAAGACTATCTAGTAATTCCTGGTTTCGATTATTTCGTAGTAGATGACTGAATATGATGAAAATTATCTTCAGACTAAGTTTAAGTATTGGAATTCATACTGATTTATAACCAGAAACTTTTCAAGAGAAGATGGATGGTGGCTAGCAGTGGAATCCAGGATGCGCGTTTAATCCTATTTGAAACTCGTCAGCTGGATGTATCTGAATCCCAGAGTTTGTGTGCACTCCGGGACTCGAACTCAACACCATCCTCATCAAACGCCATCGCGTTATCCATTTAGCTACTGAGTCCTGATAGCCACTAGCTTGTGTGATGGGGTGAAGTTTAAATTCATTCGCAGGTACATCCAGCTGATGAGTTCCAAATGGGACAAAACGCGCATGCTAGATTCCACTTCTAGCCACCATCTATCTTTGCTTATAATGCTTTTGACTTAAGGCAAGATCAAGCTAATTCACACAAGATGCACATATGCCAATAAGAGACTGATTAACTGAAATCGTAAACATCAATGAGAAGATTCAAACAAACAATACAAAATGGACAGAAACCTTTGAGTTATAAATTAGCCCTTACATACGATATGATAACGAAGGTGATAGTAGTTTGGTAAAACAGTGAAAATCAATATGTGGCTTTTTTTATTGAAAAACTACAATAGTTTCACGATCATAGAGTGAAGTTTTTAGTTTTTTTAAAATCCTATAAATGAGTAGCATAGATGAATAAGTAAGTAGTTTATTTTGCCATCTACTCAAGCGACACTCACTGATGTGACAGAAGTCTAACGAAAAGATTCGAAACCTTATATTTCAATACCATAACAAAGGTTACTATTTCAGATTGATCAACCATCGTTAGAAGGTTTTCGCTCCATCGTAAACGTTTAACTCTACATGGTTCTTTTTCCGAGTACATAGGTAAACAGACAAGTAAGAATCCCGATAAAATTAAAATGTTTAAAATTTCACATGATAAGATTCAGAATAAGTCTAAATTCTTCGTCATCAGCTGAGAATTCAGCGTTCCGTATAACGTTTTGGTAAAACTATAAATACATATCATCCACGAGTAGTTTGAAGACCTTAAACAATCAGTGAGAATAAATATTTCAATGTGTATTTTTGTACAAATATAGGTGAAAAATTACACTCTAGTTAGAACATGCGTGTATCCAGAACTTTTTAGAGATTTTTTCCATCCGAAATCGAACCAACTTATACACAAATTCTCCAATGGACCATAAATATTTTCAATTATTCTTTGATTTCCTAATTAGTCTACGAACCACCATTCATGGGCACTGGTCATCATCCAAGCAACCTTTATAATCATATAAATGATCAAATAAACTATTTACAACCAACTGCTTTTATTTTTAGTGATCAGCATGAGGATCATTAAAATACGATACACTCCTATGATCTCATGAATTATTTTTAATTTCTTGAACTACGTTTTTGACAACCTTTAATATCTTGTGATAAACATTAATTAATGAACGGTTCAACAAATTAAGAAAGAAATGTTGGTAGTACACAAAACAAATACTTAGATTGTTTTCAGAGGTTTTCAAAACAGGATATAATTAGTAGTTAGCCATTCACATTCAATCATAAAGTAATAAGTTTCAAACATTTTCAACTGGAAAACATTATCATAAATTCGATTTCTAGTTCAGTACATAAAAGACAATTGGTTACTGAGTTTATATTTAATATTATTACTGCCAATGAGAACCATTAGAACGTAACAAAAAAGTTATTCACTGTTTAAAACACGACGAATTATAAATTATTTCGATATGAAAATTATATTAAAACAAAATAATTAATTACCTTGTCTATAATTTCGTAAGGATTCTGACAACTATAATTAAATGGTGACATTTTACGGAATTCTTCACGATACATATGTTGTTTCACATCGAAATGTGCACATTTACGACGTATATTGGCAACTTCATTATTTTGTAATGGTGCAACTGTTTGTTTCATTAATATAGCTTGTTTTTTGACGTTGTTCCATTTTTCAGGTAATGACTAAATATAGAAATATTCGAAAAAAAAGTAAAAATCAAACAATTATGTAAGAATGTTAATTAGTTTCTAGAAAAAGATTTCCTATATATGTGACTGCAGCTTAATAATAAATTTATTGAAAATCGATTCCTTCATTGAACTTTGTGTTTTTAACTAAATAGTATTTATTTAAATTTGGAGGCTTTGGATACCCTCACATGTTACCAAATCTTTTCTAATCAAAGAGAGTTTCAGTTGGAAAGTACCTCTATCAAGTTTAGGTCGGGATAACCATTAGATAGCAAATTCTTAATTAAGAGACTTGAACTTTACCGTTTCGCGTTCGCATGCAAATGCTCTGATGATTGTTCTTTGCATAATTTTAATTGATGATAGAAAATACTTGATAGTAGGCCAGTATGTTTTGAAACTGTTTACCTTGTTATTAGTTACATTGTCGAAGAGATAAGGGTTGGTGCTGAAGGAAAATAGACTGTTAAACTGTACAAGAAGTCATATTTAGGATTATAAGAACTCCATTTTAATAAAAACTTGTTAATTGGTTTTTTTTTTCAAATACCTTTTCCGCTTAGCTCACTATGTAGGATTGACTAAGTTTTAGTTTGACTATTAAATAGTCAACATTCAATGGCAATGTAGGGTGATCCTTCCCCAATGAGCTCTTCAAAGAATTACTTAGTTATCATTCTATCATTAGACAAAAGAAAAATCTTATACCAATTACTGATTATCACGAAGCAAATGGCATTACTCAATCTCTTTGTTAGGTAGACAGTCCATAAGTGTTTCCATCCAAGTCTGCGGTAGGATTTACTAATTATCTATACGTTGTGAAACAGGATAGATTTGGTTTTTCTATTATGAGGATTTGTAATTACTCAAACGTTGCGTAAAATATTGCTAGTTGGTGTTCAATAAAACCATTTACCCTTATGACAACAACAAGGACAACCAACACCAAAGTAAACATTCTGATTTCATGATCAAACAATCACTTATCACATGGGAAATTAATTACTATAACAATGAAAACTATAATAACATTATGCACTGACTTACTTCTAATAACTGATGTACGTCATCAGGCATTTCTTGATTATATGTTTTCAATAGTTCTATTGTTTGTTTCAATGGCTCGAACATTTCATCTGTGGCTATTTGACGATCTTTTACTTGTCCTAAATGTTTCATGACAGAAATTAAAGCATCATAATTTCCGTCTTGAAGATCTACACTTAAACCCTTAGTGGAAACCTTAAAATAGGGGAAAATGAAATTTAAAAAAAACAACAACAGAAGATATAGGTTATAATCGTTTTATTATTTGAGATCGAATGAAAACAAATGTAATACCATCTGGAAAATAAACCCAGAAAACTATAAAATTACAACAAATTCTTTGTGCTACCGTCTAAACGAGTATTAGTTAACGGGTTGATGTCTTAACATATATTCTCTTATACCAAACAATATAGATAAGTAACTGTGGGTATGAATTCTAGAGGAGCCCCTTGAAGATTGATGCTCAAATCAGTTAGTAATCTGTAGTAATTTAAATAGAAACCTGACCTGTCAGGTAAATACTAACAAGGGTGAATATCAATACAATAAAATATTCACTTGAACTTATTATTATTCCATAGTCACGATTATCGAATTGTTATTAAATCATTATTTGTCATAGGCTACTTTCAGTGTAAAATGTAAGTGCATCATATGAATGGATTTCGAATAGTAAGCTGAGAATTGAACATTTTATTACTATTATATTAAAATATAAAAATGAGCTTAAAGTAAACTATTAAAATTTACCTGGATGAAATTATTTAAATCTTCTAAACTGGTTGTAACATGATCAATTAAATGTTGTTTAAACATTAGACTCCATCGTTTAATGACATTTATGAGCGCTTGTTTAAATTTACGAGCATCTACACGGAACCAAGAATCAAATTTAGTAGATCCATCTACTTTACCAACCTTTTGTTTAAAAAAAAAAGAACTCAGATTTATTTGACAAAAACTATCATAACACAAGAAAAGTGAGTGAATTACATAAAAACCCAACAGTGATTGAAGTTGTTTACTGTCCGTATATAAAATAATGTAAACTAAAAATAATCAGAACAAAAGTAATCAAACAAAATAGTTTCATTAAAATCCTTTAGAAAAAGTGACACTCCATAGTTCAATGATAATGATTTTAATGATTCGTTTTTAACAAGAATATCTTTACATTAAACAGTAACATTATTACTCATCCTAAAAAGGGAACTAGATTTAATCTCAATATCAGTCGCTCACTTTTTTTACTGTATCGTGAATAATGTCATATAAACAAATCATGCATAAAATAACCGATTATTTCTCATCCAAACAACGGTGGAAAAACTAACTCTTCAGTACTCTCTTGTTTTAATAAACTTACAGACACTAACTTTGGGAAGGCCGAGGCTATTTGCAATATTTTCAATGTTTGTTGAGTGTGTTATTTAACAAGTGAATGCTTCATGTTGAATTATACCTTTCATTAAAGGTTTTTGTTGGGGTGATCCAGACAAGCAAGCATCAGGAGTCACTAAGATGTGTTTCGTCCAATTAACGTTCACTTGAAGTTTGGGCCAAAGATATCAAGGAAGCGAAACGTCACATGTAGAGGTTCTGATTGGTTGACTGCTACACTGCTACTATGTTTAGTAGCATTCCAGAAGCTTCTAGCAACCCAAGGACATTTAAAATATTATAAAAACCCTGTATTTTCTGTATTAAAATGAACCTTGGAGTAAACTACTTATCGTATACTTTGAGTCTTCTCTCTCGTGTTCAGGTCGCTGTGTAGTTCTAGCTTGGGGGTTACAGAATAGCTTAGGAGACGAATATAGCGTTCAATCAGGCAAGACTCATCAGTTTTATTTCAAGCCATAACTATTTGTTGTTTTTAATCGGGATGTGGCATACTGAGATGTTGATGACCAATAGTTGTGGATAACTATAAACACTTTAAACGAAATCTTTCATGAAAGTTGCACTCTTATAAGCAGCAATAATCAACTAGGTGAACAAAAAATGATTGGAAATCCTGAGTATAACATACTTAATGGACATTGAAAACGTTTCAGATGACGTTGGGCCTCATGAAAACCATTATTTTCAAATGTCAAATACAATTAACACGTTTTAATTTGAACAAACAAAACTGAGAAAAACATGTTACCTCTTCATAGATTTTTTCATAATAATCGATTTGCTCTTTAAACTGTTCCAACGTTGGTGGTTTTAATACTGGTAAATTACTGGAATTATCATCTAATTCACTAGTCCTTTGTATACCGCCAGTATTGATCAAATCAAGATCTTCTTGACTGACAGCTTGTCCATAAAGTAAAAACTGTTGCATAAATTCATTACGATCATCAATCCATAAATAAGAATATGCATCAAATGTGGCACGATAATTTAATGCCTTTTTCATAACAATTTCTACACGGTCTAATAGTTGTTTACGTTTTTTCAATAAATTTTCATTTTGATTCATTTTGGTCTAGAAATTATTTGTTTTAATTAGATAGCATACAATACCAGAGAAAATTAAAAGGAGGACAGGAATTGAAAGTAGCTTTAAACAAATAAAAATTAGATTCTTTTGTTAATTTCAATGATGATAAAGCTGAATTATAGTTCATAATTAACGGACTCTTATATGAAGTAATTTGTGTCATGCAGATTTACTGATTGGTCTGTTAACTTGGAAATGAGCATAATTATGCATTGATTAAGGGACTTTGCAACAATATTTGAACAAAGAACTTCCAATGTATAGTCAGTACTGGTTTTAATAAACCAAAGAGGATATGCTTTTTCACACAGTAGATAACTGAAAAATCATAAAGCTCTCCTGTCTAATAACCAGTGATGATAAGATGTTTGAATATCTAATTCCCATAGATCTACTGCTTTTGGTTTGTACACACCTCCAACATTATCCCTTAAATGACCTAGGAATAACTAATAATAACCAACCGACAAGTTTTCGTTTATCTGGATAATTGGATTGAGATGCATGAGAAAGTGGATGAGACTTAAATGGGTGATTGAAAGAAGTAAACTGATAAACATATGACCCTTGCAACAAATCTATGTGAGATTCAAGTTACGACATTTTATATTTCAGTAAAGAAAGTGAAAATCATGGAGAATAGCAATAGTAAATTATAATGTTGACAAAAATGAGGAACTAAAAATATTCAAAGATATAGTGGAAAAGAACGAATTAAATTCTCTAGTGGACTATTTAAATGATGAATAATTAATGTAATAGTCAGAGTAAGTTTTATATTTAAGATTTGTGCTAATTTGCTAATCGTTTACCAAATTTTTTGTTTATTATTGGATATATACAAAATAACTTATTATTATGTTAATTTATTTGTTTATTAGCAAGTTTTCTGTTCCTTGAACATCAGTTATAATGAACTAAATTTTGTTCATTTGACCATACAATATTTATAGTTATGACGGGTCACTGGATCGGTGATTAATTCTCAACTCTCAGTCATCATTTATTTTTATTCAACTTTGGTTTTAAATGTAGTGTGTTTTTGATGGTTTGCTTAAATCATCGAATAGCTGTTTTATCCCAGTTTGGAAATTCTCATAAACGGAATCGAATAAAGAACCTTCAAGTTTCAAAGTGAGTATGAAACTTTTCATGCACTGATTTAAAATCTGTCCGATTGCTCACATTTCTCAACCTCGGTTTATTCACCACATGTTAATAACAATAATAATACAAACCAATTTATTCTAATTTCCAATTCTATCTATTTAGTTCGTGGATTTACAAATGTTACAAAAATCATTTTTAAGAAATAAAATTAACTGAGGAACGGAGCAAAATAAAAAGTGTACTGCCACTAACCATATAGCTTTCTTTCATACTCAAATTGGTTATATAGGGAATAAATGTGGCTTGTTTATAAATATCTTCAATAATATGATCAACAAGTGAATACAGCCCATTCTTCGATTCAACATCCATAGATGGTTGAAATGATATATCTGGAGCCTAAATGTAATACAAGGAAAAACTTCAGTAATAATAGCTAAAAAAACTTATCTGCTTAACCCTTTATTCAAAAATTATTACAAAAACTAGTAAAATATGTTTCAAATAGAATCAGTGTAATAAGCTTAACATTATATTATTAATGGTATATTGTGGATTTTAAATGATGTCATTGTAGAAATATTCGGTAGGGTGAAGAAGTGTTAGCCCGCCATTTTCTTACTCCATTCGGTAAAGGTGAGTTGATTTAAGGATAATAAAAGAATCATCCATACATCACAACTATTTGTCATGAAAGACTCAACTAACGCATTGGAATAAATGATAATGTTTTTAACTTCCTGAGGAATCGTCTACTCGAAATTGTGATTTTTAATTGGCTAGGTGTAGGCCAGAAAAGTTAAGAGTAATCAGGTTAAAACATGAAAATAAATCATGAGATCGATGAATATTGTTGTAAGAACTGTCAAGATGACAACTAAAGCATTGGTGTTATCGAGATGTTGGAAATCAGTAATTGGAGATCCTATGTGGCATACCTTTCTAATTTTGAAAATATTAATAAACTAGCATAATCTGTCACTCTACTCATGATACTTGGTGTAAGGCTCAGTGTTATTGTATTTGCCTGTCTAGATATATTGTATCACTAGAAGGCTGGGTGAAGAGATGCGTTTTTCCAGGTGTTTATCATCACAGAGTGGAGAAACTCTTTTGAGCTCCCTCTATGTCAACACTTAGTCGATTGATTCAACTAACTGGAAGAATAAACTGTTTGCTTTGTTAGGTTATCGCAATTTCTACGCCGATTTTTCATCAGGAAATTCGTTTAAACAGGTATTAACACATCAGTTTGAGTTTAGCATTTTGCGAAATGCATAAACAGAATTCATTGTTCAGCTTATCACATTTAGAAAATTGTATTTTGTATAACTAGTACTTTGTGATATAGTACCGTTTGTTTTTTACTAACCCAATATTTCTTTCTCCTGTGAACCCTAAATTTACTGATACGACAATAAACTAGTTTAAACTTGAGATTAAAGAAAATTGTGTATTTTAAAATTAAGGGTTACTTGTAGTTCCATTTGAGCTTCTAACAAAGCAGCTGTTATTGGTGCATCTTCAGTTTCGGTAAGTAAATAATTTAAACTACATTCAATTGTTTGAACAAGACCATTTTCTACAATACTGTCAATATATTCAATGTATTTTGTCCAGGCAGGATCATTTTCATTAGCTTTAAATAATCCACGATTTGTCTGGAAGTTGAAGGATTAAATAAATAATAGTAAAATAAATGTATTATTCATTTGAATAAATGTAACCGGTCAGTTAACTTCTATGACTCAGTAATATTTAATTTAGCTAGTGTCATATTAATGAATACTGAAGATAAATTTTAAAAAATTTGGTCATTGTTTTTCTTTTAATGATGGATGATGTGAGTTCAGTAGACCAATTAACTTAGTGAAATACATTTGGTTACAACAACGATTAGAATAAAATTCTTAACAATCACCACAGTGAGTAGAAACTTCTTTTTAAGAATACAAATTTAATATTATGACTAACCTCCTTTAAATAAAAACTTAAGATATTAAGACAGTGTACGATGAAGAGTGGACACATCAAAACTCGACATGAATAAGATACAATTTACAACATCCTTCTACCTTGTAACGTATAAATATGGGTTTGTAAAAACACTTAACTACAGAATCAGAAAATTATGTTCACCAGAAAAGTATGATATAATAAATAATTGCCTTCGAAAAAGTGGCTTCCCCAAGGCATTTATAAAGGAATATACAATTGAATACCATTTAAAGATGGAATTTTGTTAAAAACTGAGGGAAAATGTGTTTTATTCAGTAAATGTCTAAAGGTAATCATATCGCATCAAGAACGAAATTTATTGCAGCATATCAATTTCATTGTACATAATGAGATGCACAATAACACATGCAAAGAAAAATATTCATTAATTGTCACTTCCAAATGCATGTATCAATTCAAATGTGCATGCAAAAGCACGCACACTGAAAGGATAGAAAGACGGACATCTACGTGTTTTATCGAGAGAATTCTCAAGCACTTGTATTTCCGAGGACAAAACAATCTTCGTAGTTCCATTGCATGCCACTTCTTAGATACGGGACACAAGGTCGATGCGACGAATCCGTCAGCAAACAATCTGATTGTGCCTTATTAAAATTCGAGGAAACTATGGCAATCAGAAGACAAACGTGATCTTTGCATTCGAAAACAATCAATGATTGACCTTTCATATGATTTATTTAACTCTTAATTACTGTCAGTAAGTCATAAATCTGTTGCTAAGATTTGTATCACAAATATACTAGTCACGTATACATTGAAATTCACTATTTATAGTACCACATGATTTTCCATGTTATGTCTACAATCATGAATGCAAATTCAAAAATAATACTTAGGTCGTCTTTCAAGGGTTCTGGTTGGTAGTTTAGAGGAGGTGGCAGAGGTGAGGGTTATAAATGAGCGATCAATCGTTTTGAAATATACAGAAAACAGTGTTAGTGGATATTGGCAAACAAATTCACAATAGGTTGAGAACTAGACATTTTATATCTTTAAGTTGAGGAGTTTAAGGAGAACCACATAAGATCTAGAAGTGAGGATAGAAACAAATGTGACCTAATCATTCCACGATAAATGATTATGGAAAATAAAGGAACCAATAATGTGGTACTGAGATAACGAAGTAGAAATTAAATTTGAAAACTCAATGTCTATCACAGAAATGCACCAGATCCTATGAAAACTAAGATGAAAGTTAGTATGCTCACAAGAAGGAACATTTAAAGTTATGTAAAGCACATTTTTGTTGCATGGTATTATGAAGTACTTGGTTCGAAATGTGTCGACAAAAAAAGCTTGGTCCCTGTTAAAATAATGGTAACCGAAGAAAAAGAAAATAGAACGACCTATGTTAAATCAGCCATAAAAAGAGGTAACCAATGTGTGTAGGGATAAACAATGGGATGATAGTCAATTTAAATAGTGGAAGGAACCATACAGGATAAATCGGAAATAAAGGTGCAGGCAGTGAGAGCAGGATGTTTAAACAAACTAATTAGTCATAAAGCTAATCTGTCTTGTAAGTAGACAAAGTTGACAAAACCAGCAAATGATGATGTAGAATGATTGTTTATGGAAAGAAAGTATTAACGGAACTCGGCAAAATATTCCTCAGAGGTTTTGACACGACACCACAGAATAATCGAATACCAAGCCTATAATTGAAAACACAAACATAAATTTTAAGAGATAGAGGACTCAAACACGACATTGAGAATAATTGTCAATCGATCTACAGAAGAGGACCCTCGCTATGCATATCAGTTTAACGGGCTTAATGAAAACATTTAACATCAAGAAAACAGCACATGAGTTACAAATTGTCTCCGCTATCTCAGAAAAAAGCACCGATTTTGTTGAAATTCAAGAAAAGTTTGAAAGTCAGAACATTATTTCCACAATTGTTATCAATCAGTTAGAGCAATCCATTACACAAGCAACGAGCAGAATCTAAAAGATATCCTGAATGTGGTCTGGTAATTTCACTCTTATACATTACCTAGATTTTAGATAGCAGGAGTAAAACATAGCACACATTACTGACGAATATAGAACAACTTCAGAAAATGCTATTCGGAGAATACATTTCTTGACTGAATTGATGAAGATAATAGATTTAAAATATCACAATGCCAGAAAAATGAATGTCTACCATTTTACAACTTATTATAAATGGCTTGTTCACAGAAACACTCATACATTTAAACCTTACCGTATCAAGTAGGTCGGTTGGAGAACGGTAAGATTAAGAGCAGAAACCTAAAGTGAAATCATGCTGTTGACTCTTGCGAGCTGTGATGGCATCAGGGTTTTTCTTTCAGACAAACAGTATCTCTGGTGATCCTGCCATTTCACAGCAAAATGAGTGGGTTAGAAAAGATTGGCAGCAAAAATAACACGCTTTACCTTACCACACAGATTTCCGTAACCAGATGGAAGGCCCTTAAAATATGAAGCCTCAAAAAGAAGTATTGGTCGGTTTTTTCTAATTTAAGTTACTTGTGGTGTAGGCGAGATATAAGTCTGCCAACTAAAGAGCATATATACATTTTAAGAGACAGCTTTGTACTACTATGTAGCTGTAAAATGTAATCTGTGAATGTAAAAGATATTCCTATGTTGCAGGTGTTCGATCGTCGGTGTACTTGAACACATGCCTCGTGCATCGTGAAACGACTGAGCGAACAATTCTGAGGTTAGGCATAGGTCACTAGGTAAAGATAAAATATAGTTCGATGAGCTTGTGAATCTTTATCGACTGAGGAAGTTAAGACACGTATTACGTATGCATTAAAACCACCTACCTCAACGAGCACTGTTGGCTAGTGTAGGAATAAGTTGAAAAGAAGATAGAGGCGGCCAAACCCAAATTTGATAACAACCCATAAAATTGTCAACGGTGATCATGGGTTGTGGATTGTGTCACATAGCTCAGAATCTGTCATAATGGTCCAGGTGCACATGTTCATTTTGTTGCCGTCGATCTTTAATTTCAATATTCCTTCATACACTTCTTTATATTCTTGCTTTACAAACCGCATTTCCAGTGTTTAGTCTTTCTCATTATCATTGATGTCATATTATTTCGATTCCTTTGCTATGCTTTTTAGATTAATTTCGCCCCGCTAACATGGTATAGTAACTTCAACCAACCTACGTATGGTTCTGCACCGATCATGATTGACGGAGAGACTAGCACCTAAATAACTAAACTATTGTAGTGTCTAGTAACACGTCAAGCCGACATGGGTGATTTTGGCTTCCGGACAGACCAATTAATTTATACCTTTTGAATCACATTTTGACCTTATCAATTATTCACTGATAACTTTGACGGTTTTTATATGAGCGTGTGTGTATCGTCCATCCCGTTCATCATGTCTTTAGTTGACTTTCTTCTAGATATAAATAGTGAGTCACGGGTTAGCGAAAGAAGTTAGTACGCTTGCCTTCAACGCTTCGATTTCCCACCTCCCATCTTTAATGTCTAAGTAGACACATGCGTAAAATGATTTCATCCAACTCAATTCTTATTCGGCTACTTATTACCGTCGTCACAAGACGGGGTTATCCTAGATGTAATATGCGAAGTTAGAGATTTTTATTTATGGTATATTCATAGGCTAACCCAAATAGGAGTCAGTTCAACGGGCCACTGAAGTGTATATCAGAGAAGTGTACATGAAACTGTACTTAGTAACTGACTTAAAAAGAGAAGTAGGGAGAATAATTGAAAAACAGAAGTTTTATTTTCATGTTTGAAACTTCTTAATAAGTTGAATACCTGGCATCGTTTACTCTACTAACAGGTAATGTCATTTTGTGTTATATAGTTTGTATAAAAACAAGAGGATAATGAACTTGAATTTATTGGTCGCGTTTTATGATGTAACTAGGCTTGTAAAATTGTGCTTAGAAAGTAATTTGCATTGCAACATTATTGCAATTGATACCAGGTTTTACGTTACTTGAAAACAAACTAAGTGAATGCTTTTTATGTATTTAGTTGATCTCCCTGTCAAAAATTTACTTGTATAATTTAATTTGATGTTTTTAAAGTTTGTTCGATTTGAAAAGATAGTTTTCACCAAGGAATGACTTAAGTTGAATAATTTTTAAAAATTAGAATACACTAAACATCTTTGTCATTTTATTCTGAAGCAGATTAGTGTTAGAAATGCACGACTGGATGTAATATTTGACCAAAACCCTTCAAACTTTATGATGAATGTGATATTATTTAGTCGTAAAGTTAGGATTCATTCATATTTTACAAATTCAGTCTATTTGTGAAGACTACGTGGTTGGAGTCGTGAACAGTGTCTGGGAAATTGAGTGACATAACTCTAAATCGGTAGTGCAATCGCGCACGTACATTCAGTAAATCATAAATTTCAAGATTATTTATTACTTTTCATTTCTTGAACTCTTTCTTTCTTCTCGAATCTTAGTGTTTATGTTAAACGTTATTTTTATTATTACAGATACAACAAATACTTTTGATGCTTTAAGTAATTATCATAATTTCATCTCACATGTTCTGATCTTGTGCGCAACTTGGATTGATACACATATGTGACAAGCTCCACGTTGTTGGTGAATGACATACTAGCTTCTTCCCAGGATAAATGACTTTTTTAAGCTAAAGCACGGATAAAACCTGAGAAACCATTTAGTAAGAACAAATAATTCTGATCACGCTAGTTTTATCGTCCTGGTCAATGATCTTACATGAGACATGTTTTAATATTCTTTTTTTACTTACTTCCAGGAGACTAAGTATTTGTTTTCCGGCATCTGTAATTTCTGCATAACGTTTAGAACATCTATCCTCTCGATCATCCAATCCTAATAATGTATCTTTTTTACCATCTTTGCGTTCAAACAATGGTGTTTTAGACCACGTGGTCATAATTAAACGAATTTGTTGTGCATTTTCTTGAGTTTGCACGACGCGATGTTTTAAATCATCGATTTGATTTCGTGTTTTTTGTATATAATCCCATGCATCTGAAAAAATTATTGATAAATAATTCACAATTAACATATGCAGGACTTATAAGAAGTGATATTTTACATACTAATAAAACCATGTGTTGGCCGTAGTCTTTATGTATCATATTTAGTGTATCCGATTGAAAGATTGAACAACAATGATTTGAAATGTAAAAAACGTAGAGTTACATATAAGTACTGAAAATAAAGTTCTGCTAAAAAAGATATTTATTCGATTCAAGGACCTGAGGAATTTTCACCTATGACTCTACGTATGATCAAACCTACATCTTTCACGTCTCTTTATGAGCTATCAAGTTAGGACCGACTGCTTTTCATCACTTAATATCGATCTTTTTGTATATACAGAAAATATATAATCAATAATAACTGAGTAAATCAAGAAAAAGTCACCTACCACTAGTTTTCCAACTCAATGAAGTTTCAGCTTCTTTTGCTTGTTTATCAAATAAACCCATTTCGTTGTTAACTAATTCTGTTTCAACAGATATAAGTTGATTAGATAAATAACTATATGCTTGAACAATCATATCTAAACTAATATGAAAATTGCGCAGTTTCTCATTTTGTTCATATAATTTAGTTGCTGAATCAGGAATTATTTCTTCTGTAAATAAGCCTAAATATTTAACCTCACGAAGGATAGCTACAAGCTAGTGAAATAAAAGCAAATTAAATACGATCAACAGTTAAATTCTAATTGATAACTAACTTTTTAGTAATGCATTAAACAGATAATTTCCAGAGTGTAGATTAATTTCGTCAAGGACTACCACCAGCCGGATGATCACTAAAGGTTAAGGAACGCTAAACAGAGTTGAATTTGACTAACAAACAATTATAGGTACATCTATATTTAACCTGGATGTTTTTGTGGGGGGTTCTTACATACTTCGAAAAAGACTTTCGTAGCAAACTTACTTTGGCTGAAAAACCCAAGAGTACTAAATAACTGCTATAAATGTAGATCATAAGACTTTTACATAGTGATTAAAAAATAATTTGTTTACTGCGAGAACTGAAGGCTTCGATTTTGATTTAGTGTCATGCTGTGTATAGTGCTAAAGAACTTTGAACTGGTATGAAGTTATATGTCTCGTCCTTCTTGGTTTGTGATGAAAAGGATCTACGAAATACATTTATTTTGCAAAAGCCACTGACTTATATTTATGAATAGTCTTAAAACAAGACAACATGCATGGTAAGTGTAGTTCTGATTCTCAATGACTGGCTGATTGACTCTAGCATCCAATGTATTTAGTTCATGAGTGTTGAGGCAAAATATCAAATGAAACGTTTGGTTTCATATGTTTAATTTATTCAGTATATCTTTGTAAACTATCGTAACAGATCATAACTTTGTCATAGTGTCGTAATAAAGTAGTTGTAGGAAGTAACAGTTTTTGTTGATTTTGACGGCTAGATTTTGACAGTATTTTTCGAAGAAAATATATCTGCGTGTCTACCTTTAAACGAATTTTTAATGCATGATGGAGACGTTATTTATGTAATAATACTGATACAACGGATGGCTTAAAATATTTTTCTCACTGTCAGGTATACCACGATAATACTTTAACACGATAGTGAGGCTACTCACGTAGTATCAGATCCAAGGTTCACGATCCAGAATACATAACCAGAATAACACTAGATAATGCTTCATTCAACAAAGTTACAAGCAATCACTCTTAGCGAGTCCAGAGTATAAATCGATAACAGGAAGAGAAATCACACTCAGTAGTTAGTAGACTGCCTGCCTATTTGTCCACGCTCAGTGACCAATCATGTTTTACTTTCATCACTACACATCAAATAATAGCAATTAACGCTAGAACATTCGATAACACATCAGCTAGAGAATGCTGTTGGTGTATTTGTGTTTTATACCAGAAAATTATTCATTCCAATGTGAATAATTTACTGGAATGAGGTAAATCACAAGGTAGGTGGGACAGTAAGCATAAACAATCACTGCAAACAGTGACCATAAAATGTCAGAAGTGTTTTTTAAAACAAGCAACAAACAGTTTCTTGATTGTAAAACTCATGTTTGTCTCAACCAGTTGTGTAGGATTTGATTATTTCAGAAGTGATCATGGTTCTAAGTTTCGGAAAAATCAACAGTCAGATGATCGTTGTATTCAGTAATTAAAAGTTAAATTATAAATTTATTAGTTGACATAAGGATATTGCACTGATTGTTCAAAAAAGTTGAATATCTTTTATCACACGGTGATTTTTGTATATTTCTTTGATAAGAAAATTTTCATTACATTGAAAAGAAATCTTCATTCGGTTTCGTCCAATTAAAAGATTAGTTTTAAAATGGTAATAATTGCTTAGTTATTTCTGAAAATTGATATAAAAGGTAAATATTTCTCGACTCATCACCTTTTCTCCAAATTATGAACGTAAATAACGCACAAACTACAAGCTCTATTGTTTCGAACATTGTCATGGACACGGATAACGTATTCTTGAGTACGTTGTATATGGTAGCGTTCCATTCGTCGTCTGAATATAATGTGTAATAAGAGGGTGTTATCAAGGTAATTAATGTGGATTAGGAAAGATGAATGTGAAGAATAAGAAAGGTATAAACACAAAAGGAATTGATAGGGAGGATGAGAGGTTTATAATATCCAGTTTCGGCATCCAGTGATCCAGTCATGGGCCACGGTAAACATAGAGGCTGAATATACCTCCTCTTGATACATAAGATTCTTTGGAGTTTCGTATAAAACAGAGGAAGTTTCATTGATTTAAATATGATGTTCGCTATCCACCAAGTGAAAAAGAATGGTACTGCTAGTTGATTTAGTCATTCCTTTTCCCAACCATGCTGGTACATGTTCACGAACATGCACGGATAAAGCTCTCTGAGTACGGCCTATTTAACTAGCTCCACAGGAGCAGTTGAATTGGTATACACAAATCGTTAGCCTGTCCTTGATTTGTTGTGTAGGTACTGGTTTTGTTGAGAAAATTATCTGTAACTTGGTGGCGTGAAACTACCTTTCAACAGATCTTTTGAGTCGACATATTAAAATACCACCCCCTATGTCCTCCTTAAAGTCCAATTTCAGATACAGGGTTTTTTCACTGACCAAGTCAGTTTCTCTTTTTAAAATACATTCTAATAGAAATTTTCTAACGAAATTATTTGATTAGCTGTTATTGCGTTCTTTAGTGTATCTATTGCGCTATCTACACTATCTTCAGAACATAAGAGTTTGATTCTGTGGATGAGACATTTAACCAAAATTATTTGGCATTGAATAGGTGTAAACCTATGGAAATGGGTATACTGACCAGTTTATGTATTCTTTCTAAATATATATATCTATTTATGGAACAGTCTATCCTTATAGAAAGTAGGACATCAAGAAAAGCCATAGTAATGTCGTTCTCCTCTTAGCTGGTGAATTAAATCGATGGGTGGACCTTATTGATACAGTAAGAAAACGTGAACGCTTATTCATTCCCCCCAATCCTAGACGTTTAGCGTTATTAATATATACCCCACTCATTATCTTATCACGATGATCTATTCATATGTTTACACGCATATTATGATCATTACAAGATTGAACTATATGTTCAAATAACTCCCAGAAATACTATAATAAAAATTAATTTACTGCTTGAGCATTAAACATTTTATTAGGTTTCAAGTTCAGTAATCACTATTATCAACTAATAAAAACAGTTATCAGTCTTTCCCCAGTTTGTTTTTAATGACGTGCATAGTATTTCTCTTGTCACGAGATCTAACGACTTCAGTTCCATTTCTACTTGATCGAAAAGAAGTTTAAATAAACTTCTTATCTCACTATCTATTCTTAGCTAGGAGTATAGTACGGCAGTCGAATAGAATTGGCGTCTACTTTTTCAGAAATTAAAATTTTTATCAAAACTCGGATGAAACAGTCAGACAGAATCCAAATGTAACAATGCAAATTTTCACATCCAATCAAACCAGTTTATGCTACTTTGATTTTAGCTAATCAGATTACAAAGATGCACAGTTTACAGCCAATTAACAAATTATTACAGGTAACAAAACGTTTGTTCATTATAACACACACTTCAAGAAACAAGTTAAACAATCACTTGTCGCTAAATATTTTTTATTACACCCCAAACTTTTTCATCACCGGGGTTCAGGGATCACAATCACCGTGCAGTAATTGTCAACCTCAAAAGTTCTTCCCTTTAATTGTGTTGTGATACATTATTTTCATCTAGTCAGTCATAAACAAAGTAGAACTTTGCACAAAAATAGCGAAATTGAATTGAAATAGTAATGCCGATGATAGTAAGACTTTAAAACAAACAGCTTAGTTAGAGAAGAGGGAATAAAGTTGTTGAATTAAAATCTTGATGAAACCTTGAAACCTTAGATTCAAGGGATGACAGAGAATGAGAACATTTGTGTTATTACCGATAAACCACGGCACTATAAGTGTCCTCTAAAGTATTATGATTATCTTGAATAATCAAACTAAGAAGCCTGCATGTACAGTTACTTTTCAGTCTGATATTCTATGACCTAATAAACCGATGTTATTATTCGGTTTATTAGGTCCCAAAATTATTTCCGATCATCTATGTTATGCCAGTACAATATATTGAATCATGTATAGTGGACGATCCAGTAATCCTAGACAATGAGGTTTCAACTATAATTATCTTCAGAATAATTTATATGTATGTGTATTGTTTAAAACTTACTTTTGCATTAAAATTTACGCTTAGCATTTTTGTATGTGGATCACGTACAAGTAGTGGTTGAGATAAATTAAATGAACATATTTCATCTACACTTTTAGACCATTCATCGAATGCACGTTTTTCATAACTAAAATAAAATATCAAATATAAACTTGTACATCTACTAATGAGTATAGGAAATAATTCTTAAGTGATATGTATAGATCTTCCAAAATGTATTAAATATAAGTAATAATATTTATCAAAATAACCCATAGTGTCACTGAATAAGAAGAAGAGAATTCAGCGAAGAAAATTTTCTTTTCGACGAAATCATTTACTTAAGCTGTACATTCGTATATATAGTTATATGGAAAATGTATGTCTACAGGAGGATAGAAAGGATTGCATCACAAAAAATGGATTCGACAATAAATGACAAATGACGTTAACGTACTAATCAAGGGGTAAGGAAGAAAATAATTTATGGGTCACCTAATAGTTCAATTGACAGATATGAAGAAAAACGACAAAACAACAAAGGTCATAATAATAAACTGAATGATAATCATGAAAACTTGTAAAAGGTAATAATAATAAATGATTAGAGTTTAAAGTGCAAAATAGTGATTTAAAAAAATAGATAATAATAAAAGTGCATTAAAAAAAAATAAAACATATCTAGAAACATACCCGTTAAAGGAATTAGGGCCAAGGAAGGATGAGAGGTTGGACAAATCGTTTCTGCACGCAAAGTTCAGTCTTTAGTTTGTGGATTGCCAATGCCTCTGCGGTGCATAAAATATTGATTCGAACCCCCTTCTATCCAGTTCCTTTGACTCTGTAAACTATCTTAAACGAAGAGTCTTTTGGAGCGATATGTCCACAGTTGATTAAGTGCTCCTGTATCGAACTCGTGATTGTTTTTCGTTCAAGAGCCAGGCCGGATAATGTTCCGAGATGCGTTTGGATAATGATTGCTTTGTTCGGCCTATGTAACATGCCCCACATGAGCAAGTAAATTTATGGATACACATTGAAGTGACCCAAAGCGAAAGTTTGTCCTTAACACACCCCAGAATGGTAGGTCGGCCAGAGAAGATGATTCGAAACTTGGATGTGTGGAATAATTTATGCAATGATTTCGAAATCCGTTTATTTAGGATTTCGGCAGCCGTATCTCCCTTAAATTCCATATTCATAAATAGAGTTTTTTCTCTACTGTCAATGCTTTGTCATGAGGTTTAGGTACCAAGTTTCTATCGATGAATCTCAGTGGATGACCATTTTTGATGAGGGTCTGTCGAAGATAAAATAGTTCCCCATCTATTGTGTCATCGGAACAAATTCGCCTGATCCTTGAGGATAAAGAATGAATTAAGTTCCTTTTTCTACTTAATGGAATCCAACTGTAGAAGTCCGTGTACTGTCCATTCCAGGTGGGTTTTCTATATATCGATCTCTGTAATAAACCGTCTGGCATTCTTTTTAAATAGATGTCAAGAAAATGAAATTCGTGGTTTGTCTCTGCTTCTAAGGTGAATTGGATTGATGGGTGGCAGTCATTGAAAATATTCAAAATATCATTGAGGTCACCATCTTCGCAAATCATGAAAGTGTCATCCATATATCTTTTATATAAATGAAGTCTCTCAATTATTGGTCGAAGTACCGAATTTTCTAGGTTCGCCATAAAACAATCAGCCAGGAGAGGACCCAATGGAGAGCCCATTACAACTCCATCTATTTGTTTATAGAAAACATCATTAAATCTAAATTGCACGTTGAGCGTACATCGTAGAAGTAGTTCTTTAAGGTAATGTTTCAGGATACGCATATCAAGATTATTGTTTTCAATATAGTCACATAAAAAGCAAATGGTTTCCGTGAGGGGAACATGTGTAAAAAGAGAAGTGACGTCTAATGAGAACATTTTCTTACCGGGTACACTGATATTTCTAATGGAGTTGACAAAGTCAAAGGAATCAAGAGAGTTGTATTTGTTGATATGATTTTTAACAGGTTGCAGAATGTTAACTAACCATTTAGCGATCAAGTGGTAGGGAGAATTGTTCATATCCAGTATAGGACGTAGTGGGACATTATTCTTATGAACTTTTGGGAGTCCATATAGTCTTGGTACAACAGAACCAGATGGTTTGAGGTGTTCATAGAGGTCATGATTGATAATATCCTCATATTTCATTTTCTTTAAAATTTTAATTAGCATTTGTTCAGTTTTTTCAGTAGTGTCTTTTTGAACGTTCTCAATAGAGAATTTGACAGGATCAGATAATATTGAAGATATTTTGGTAACATAGTCAATACGATCCATAAGAACAGTTCCTGCACTCTTGTCTGGGCGTCATGAAACTAAGTCCTGATTTCTCCGAAGATCAGACAATTGAGATTTATGTTCTTCTGTGAGTAATCAGCTAATTGTAGGTATTTTATTTACATATTGATTACAACAATCCACAAGAGTTGTTTTAAAATGCTCAAAATCTTTATTAGATACTGGAGTAAGGTCATTTGTCTGTGGCATGAGGCTTTCAAACTGAATTTTCGCGTTGAGTTCATTAACGTTAGTAGACGTGCTACAAAATTTAGGACCAAGGGATAATGCTTGAAGCTGAATAGTCGATAATGTTATACTTGAGTAATTGAAAACATATTTCTTCCTTACCCCTTGATTAGTACGTTAACGTCATTTGTCATTTATTGTCGAATCCATTTTTTGTGATGCAATCCTTTCTATCCTTCTATAGACATACATTTTCCATATAACTATATATATGAATGTACAGCTTAAGTAAATGATTTCGTCGAAAAGAAAATTTTCTTCGCTGAATTCTCTTCTTATTCAATAATATTTATGATTATCATATTGAGGATACGTTATTTAAACCAGTGTGGTTGTTCTGTGTAGTGAAATGACTACAGTTATTCTTGAAAACTGATGGTGATTAGTTGGCTGTTTAATAGGAAAAGCTTAGTTTAAAGGTCCTGCCATATATATAGCATATATAGCATGAACTGTTAAAGACTTCGAAAATGGGATGAAACAACTATCCAACGAATACTATTTGCAATAGTTCATCAATTTCTGTTACTCAATGGTAAACACGAAATTAGAATTTTAAAATATACAACTCACATTTCTTGTTAATTCTTGTAAACAGATGCAATCTCTAAACAGTTTTTAATCAAATAACAAATTAGATGTCTAGACAACAAATTACAGACAAACTAATCAGATTTAAGGTAGCACCTCTTGGATTTTTGCGTGAATTTCATTTATCTATAAGTCTAAATAGAATTCTGTATTTACAATTGATGTCAGACAGATAGTCAAGGTAGATTGGTTGAACATTTTGGAAATTTTAGAGAAATGATTACCGGTTCAAGTTAAGGAATTCACAACAACACAAAAGAAAGCGGGAAATTCTTAGAATCATTAATATGAGTAGACTTTGAAAGTGTAGAGTAAAAATTAATTAGTGTTTAATATTTAACCGAAGATAATGGATAAATGGATCTGATAATTTTGAGTGATATCTAATTTTAAAATATTAGATTATTTAAACATTGTGAACGAAGCCTATACTCTTAACGACATACAATTTAGATCAACAGTCGCTGTCTTAGTAAATCACAAAGAGCACGAAACCGCTACTATTCTCAAAAGAAATTAGGCTTACTCATGAAGGAGATTCAGTATTTGATCATATTTCTTTTGAATTAATTCACCTTCTTTGGTATGAAATATTCTAAAACGAAAGTATAAAGAAATAGAAAATTAAACGAGGTTAACATTTGTTTACTTAGATCAGGTAACATTGATAATCTTCTGCAGTTCAACTGACTGAGTCATTTGAATGACATAGTACATGGGAAAAATTATGTTAGATCAATGTTGGGTTTAAAACGGATTCAGTTGAAAATCACAGGTTGCATGAAACCAAGTTAGTCGGTCACATTCAGCATGTAACCTAGTACATGAGTGCACCGGTAAAAGTTGTTACACTACACATTAGCACACCGGAATGAATTTATCAAGACAGATCCGACAGAAGTTGAAATAATAGTAGGAAAGTTTAGCCATAGAAGGTTTAACTCGAGGATAAAATATAGGTCCATAAAGTAAAAAATTCATAAGATAATCTATAGACATAAGATTCAAAGGAAGATAAAGAGTGAATGCATCTGTGCCATTGCGAATAATTCTGAGTCGTGTGACAGAAAGTTTCTCAGCATTCGTTACGACAATCGCTTGGACTTCAACCAGGTAATCTGCACCTTCATAAATGACTCAGTAACTTCATGGACAAATGCTACATCATGATTTGGTTGCCTTTAGGTTTATTGCAACCTACTCTCACACCAGATAACATATTCCGTTGAGGTAGTTGGTGGCTGGCCATACGTAATACATGTCCCAACTACTTCAGTTGATAAGGATTTATTTTCTCGTCAGAACATTGAGTAACTAATCTAACCCCATACTCTAAGTCGGTGGTTGGAGGTAATCGACAGAAAACCCAGGACCTAGGTTTCGTACTATTCGGCACTTATCAATAGTGTGTACCTGTAATCTTTAGGGAACTAATACTCTCTGATGGATTCGATCCCGTGTCACCCAGCTTCACAGTCAGAGATGTTACCACTGATCTATCCAGGCTGCAACTGACCTACCGTAGGACCGAGATGTAATACACATCCCACAGTGCATATCATGTATTGCACACGATACCGAGTCACATGACCAGTGGCCACACTGCAACTTGGTTGATAGAATACTATATGCATTAAGAAGGACATGACACAAATGATAATGGCCACTTTTCAGTGATCAGTCAATTGTAAAACCCATATTCTGTTAATAGATTATGAAGGATTTTCACGCTTAACATGGTTAGTCAGTCAGTCAGCTACAAAGTAGAACCAGGCACATATATGCATAGGTCCAAGTTGCCATACCTCATTAGCACAGCAGGATGAACACCAGATTCATAGAAGTAGTTAATTCAGTGGTGGTATGAATGGTTCAAACCAATTTATCGTGATCGAAGCAAAGTGTTATACAATTTTATTAAGTTTATTTTCTATGTAGTTCGCGAATTAAATTCTCCCCGGAAAACAGTTATGTTATATTCAATCATTTGACATAATCTTTTCCTATTCAACCATTATCTAAGTTAATCAGTTAAATTAAAAAATAAATTCACGTGATCTTCACATTTTAATAACATCTATAAAAAAGTGGTTCTTGTTCGCCGAAATATGAATTTTATGGGGAGGAAAGATAGGTTGGGAAAATAATATCTTTTGAGAAGAATTCAGTTGAGAAAATATTTTAATAGTTGAATCCATGAGTCGATCTAAGCTAGAGCACCATTGAAAACCTGACAGCACTAGACTGCTGTTTCGTCCTCGTATAGAACTCTTCAACAGTGAGCATCCACAGCCGTTCAGTGCTTACAGGTTTTCAATGGTGGTTTAGCTTAGATTGACTCATGAATTCAATTATTAAAATTACTACAATCTCCACGGATTCCCACTCCAAGAAAATATTTGTCAATACTAAACACCTTACTAAGGGTTATTTTCAGTGGTATCAATTAAACGAAGTTGAATGTATTAAGCTTATCACAGCAAACGACGAAAGCTAAACATCTCCTTTATTTTATCTTTTTTATGCTGCACAGAACCGCGGTATTCAGCCTTATTCATGGTTTTCCCAAGTTTTTTTTACTAAAGTAGGTAATAAAGAGTTTTAGAATGATATAAATTATTCTACATTTGTTATTTTATCCTCTTAAACTAATATAAATATAGTATACTGACTCAGCAGTGTTTGATTATTCATTCACATTTGCTCCTTCCTTTAAAATGATTCGTCATTACCTTAAACTCCACATGTAGCTGTTTTAGGGGTTACTGCAGGTCTCAAGCCCGGGTAAAGGAGGAGTATTGGACGTGGGATCGACAACCACATAGCACAGAGAACAATCTTGTTAAAAAACACTAACCAAAATAAACACTTTAAACCATTTAAATTCTGCCTTCCGATTTGAAGGAAGAATAATAAAACCTCATGATGAAAGCCGAGATTCTTCAAAAGTCACGCGGCCGATACCATTACGAACAACTAGAGCAACAATTAATATAGGTACATGGAATGACTGGACAATGTGGGAGACCAAGAGGACCAGTCAAATGGCAACGGAAATGAGGGGATACAACTTGGCGGTTCTTGGAATAAGTAAAACCCATTGAACCCAAGCTGGACAGAAAAGGATAAATTCGAGAGAGATGCTGTTTTACTCGAGTCACAAAGAAGAAAGTGCTCCACAAACTTAGTGAGTTGCTCTGATGCTGTCCAAAGAAGCACTAAATGTACTTATAGGATGGGAATCTCATGGATCCAGAATCATCAAAACATCAATCGAAACAAAGAAGAAAGGAATCACAATGAATGTTATCCAATATTATTCACCTACCAATCCTAACAATGAAGACGACAAAGATCAGTTTTACGAGAGGCTGCAACCGATCATAGCGAGGTGCTCAAGAAAAGACCTGATTATCCTTATAGGAGACCTAAACCTCAAAGTCGGAACGGACAACGCCGGGTATGAAGGTATTGTGGGACGAAATAGATTGGGAGAAAGTAACGAGATTGGTGACAGATTTGCAAACTTATATGTATTCAACGAAATCGTTATAGACGGCACAATATTCCTTCACAAACGCATACACAAAGCTACATGGGTCCCACAGGATCACTCTACAGAAAAACAGACCAATCATATCTGTATCACTACAAAATTCAGAAGGTCAGCGAAAGATGCGAGAATCAGGAGAGGAGCTGACATGACCTCAGATCACCACCAACTGGTGGTTGCCAAGATGAAACTGAAGCTAAAGAAGTAATGAACAACTGGGGAAACAACATTACAAAGGTTCGAAACAGCCTTCCTTCCAGATACTGACAAACCCAACGAATTCAAGATATCTCTCAACAACAGGTTCCAAGCCTTACAAGATCTACTGGGAGAAGGGGAAACTACTATGGAAAACAATTGGAAAGGGATCAGAGAAGTACTAACTTCAACGTGTCGGGAGGTTCTGGGTCTCAAGAAGCATCATCACAAGGAATAGATCTCTGTGGAAATCCTGAACAAGACTCAAGAAAGGAAAAATAAGAAGATAGCACTTAACAACAGCCGAACAAGAACAGAGAAAATCAAGACACAAACTGAATACACTACATCAAACAAACAAGTAAAGACGAGTGTAACACCAGCCAAAGCACTGAAGCCTGACATACAAGTGACTGCAAACATGCTCCACGTTCTATTCGGGAGGCTTCGGGAGAAAGAATAAGTGCACTGTCAGACTGGAAATCTAAGCAAGTGGGAGAATTACAGGGCAATTGACTACTCTCAGTTTCAGAAAAAAGTTTTCAACAAAGTGTTGCTGAACCGGATGAACGATTCAGTAGACGTGCAACTTTGAGATCAACAGACCAGATTCCGTAAGGATCGGTCGTGCACAGACCAAATCGCTACACTACAGATCATTGTTGAGCAATCAATTGAATGGAACTTGTCACTATACATCAACTTCCCTGACTATGAGAAAGCGTTTGACAGGAAAATCTTATGGAACCCTCTTCGATACCATAGTGTATCTGAGAAAATCGTCAACATCATCGGGAATTCATACAACAGACTACAGTGCAAAGTCGTGCATGTAGGACAGCTAACTGACAGATGCATTCCAAATGAGAACCGGAGTCAGGCAAGGATGCTTACTCTCTACCGTTCACTTCTGGTGTTTGACTGGATTATGAAGACCTCAACATCTGAGAGGACGTACGGAATACAATAGACAGCCTGGATACAGCCAGACAATTTGGACTTCGCAGATGACCTAGCTATTCTGTCCCATACACACGAACAAATGCAAATGAAGACAACTAGTGTAGCAGCAGCCTCTGCATCAGTAGGCCTCAAGCCACACAAAGGAAAAACCATGATCCTCAAATACAACACGAAGAACACCAACTTAATCACACTTGATGGATAAACTCGGGGAGATGTGGAATCCTTCATGTACCTGGGAAGCGTAGTCGAAGAACAAGGAGGGTCTGATGCAGGATGGCAAGGATTGGCAAAGCAAAGGCCGTATTCCCACAATTGAAGAACATATGGAACGCAAAACAACTGTCAATAAATATCAAAGTCACAATCTTCAGTACGAACATCAAGACAGTCCTACTGTGAGAAGCTGAAAAGTGGAGAACTATAACAACTATCATCAAAGAGGTACTAGTATTTATAAACACTTCGGAAGTTACTCAATGTTCATTGGCTGGAAACCATCAGCAACTGCCTACTGTGGGAGAGAATAGATCAGCTTCCAGCTGAGGAGGGAATAAGAAAAAGACGTTGGAAGTGGATAGAACACACATTACGGAAATCACCAAATTGCATCACGCGGTAGTCCCCAACTTGGAATCCTGAAGAGAAACAGAAAGGAGGAAGACCAAAGAACACAGTGTCCAGATTTGGAAGCAGATATGAAGAGAATGAATATCAACTGGAAGGGATTACCGAGGACAGAGTTGGATGGAGAGTGCTGGCCGGCGACCTATGCTCCTCCATGAGGAGTAACAGGCGTAAGTAAGTATCATTGCCTTAATGAAAATATTTATTAAGTTGGTTACAATAATACAACTTAAGGTATGAAGAATATGGTTTCATGTCATCTTACAAAATTCCGGTTGGAAGAAAACCGATTGACAGAAAATGTACACAGTAAAATAACTAATTCTCGGTTAGTCTACAAATTAGAACACACTTACGGTAAGTCTAATTGATTTATCATTTCCATGGGTTGTGTAATGCGACTCTTCAAATCATTTGCCCATTTTAAATTTCCTGACAACCTAGGCATATTTTTATGAATTTCTGAATAATATGATGGTTGTTTCTTGTTAAGACCAAGTTTTACATCATGCTTCTCTTCTGATGATTTATCACCTGTTAGTGACTTGTCATTTGCAGATGATATTGAGTTCAATAATGGAACTGATAATGGTAGAAAAAAAACTATTCATCTATCATTTATATTAAGAAGTACAAACCAGATTCAGATTGAGTACAATAAAAAGTAAAATGTGAGGTAAAATCAATATTTTTTGAACCTTTGTATTTTGTAATTCTGTCTACAGTCCTTTAGGGGTCTTTTTCGGTCCCCAGCTCGGATAAAAGAGGAGTTTTGGGCAAAGGGTTAGCAACTCCATTCCATATTAGAAAACCAAGGGAAGGCACTGCAGGGGAAAGGTCACACTTTATCGAAATCATCGGATCGCATCACAAAGCAAGCTCTAACTTGGAATCCTAAAGGCAAAAGGGAAAGAGACAGTCCGAAGAACATGTGGGGCCAGAAATCGGAAGTGGACATAGGAATGATGAATAGCACTTGGAAACAACTGGAAAGGAGAGCCCAGAACAAAATTGGTTGGAGATCTATGGTGTACAGCCTATGCCTCACAAGGGTTAACAGGCGTAAGTAACATTTTATTGAAATGGATTAACATTTTATAAATAACTAGAAAATTGCGTTAAATAATTTACTTGTAAAACTAAAATGAAATACTAGTTGTTATTACTGATGGATCGACTTCAGGAATATTAAAACAATGTCTTTACAACAGTGATTAACGGTTATTTGTCTTCTGGCCACAAATTTGCTTTATTATAATTCCACTTTCAGTACTTTACTTCGGTGTGTAGTATTGTTCAGCGATTCATAGTATTATTTATATGAATGAATTATTATATGATTGTGTCTGTCGGTGGAAAAACGAAGTGAAAGACCCCATACTATTCATAGTAATGCTTCTTTTTGAGTTTTAGAGAAGTTCCGATGACGTTATGCTACATACGTTCCGTTAAAGCTTGTGAGTAAATATTACAGTTAAAATACATTATTAGTTAATTAAAACCAATTCAAAAAGATCATTGAAATATTTTAAACAGTTCGGAAACAAATAAGCAACAGATTTTTTAAAAATACAGCTTTTAATCAACTACTCACTTTCTTGTCTAAACTTTTCACCAGCTACATGATAGTCATAGATATTTTTCACTGTATCCATCTCTTCATTCAACATTTGAGCTAGTAATTTATATTTAGGTTGAAAACTCTCCTTGATTATGGGTCTGTCCAATAATGTATGCAGAATACTGATAAGCTGTAATACAATGTAGGTAAAAATTTAAATTTGCAATTAAATGTATGAGATAGGTTTGTGATATGTGAATAAGAATTGATGTTTGGAGAACTCGGATCTTGGTAGGATTTAAGAAAATAATTTCTGTCTCCTCAGTATCCGTTTTAGCCACGAGAACTAAATACAAATTAGTTTCACTTGAGTTTACAAATATTACCCTATCGTTAGGTGTTCTAAGATGGTCAGGACCCAAACGGAATACATCTATCATTTGAAGTCAATCTTATTACCAGCATAGTGCGAAGTTGAATACATTATGACGATTAGGGTTCAAATCCTACAGGTAGCACCAGTCTGGAAATGACTGAAATATGTCTTGCTAACGAGTACCAACTATCACATAACCTAGTTTCATAGATTCCTTCTGGTCGTCTCCAAATACATAATATTAAGGCAGCCCAACTGACTGATTCAATACATGGTATGACTAAGGTATCTGGATTCATAATTTTCATTCTATTCAAACCAATCCCAATTAAACTAAGTCTGAGATACAGATATATTGGCCATCTAAGAGCAATAATATTAGACAATTGAAAGCAAGTGAGCTGTGGTGGTGGTAATTTCTATGAAGTAAAAATGTTTGTAGTAAACAAACAGGGGAAGTTTAAGGATAGTTGTTCCAGAATAAAATGTCATTCAGTTTTGATGAGAATCGACAGTCCATCACGAGGAATATATTGCTGACAGATTAAAAGCAAAGTATAATAATTCTGATTATCGATCCACCAACTAACAATATATATTAATAGTCTAATTTAGTTATTTATATATTACTTTGACTGGTCGTGTAATGAAAGATAATGAATGGGACAGGTTGTTGATACTTTAAACGACTAAACTGTCTAATAGTCAGATGTTGTAGATCAGCAAATAGAGCACTGAACTGGTAGTTTGATTACCCCTACTTCAAATTCTGCGATGACCCAAGTTGACTTCGAATCAGTATGTTTTGTTATTCTTTGTGATAAAAAAATTTCCAATTATTAGTTAACAGTTGTATGTTACTGATTACTATTTAAGTAGGTTAAATTAATTTCAAAAATTGTGAGGTACCTTGAGAAAATGTTCTAAAGCAGGGCAGTCGTCTACTGCATGTTCAATCACATTAGACAGTCGATGTTCCAAATCTTGAACATGCTTGTTAAAATCTGCGAAATCCTTACAAAACTCTTCATTCAGAGGATCCAGAACATCATACGTTCTATCATTGAACATCTAAAGGAATATAGAATAGTTGTATAGGATAATTCACAGTGACATTATAATAGACATAGATAATTAGAAATAATAAATACAGCATTTGTATACTGGTCAAACAAGGAGAATTTTTTACCAACTGACTTCTTTTAATATAATAACTGAGTGATTGGTTTATGACAAATTGGTCACAGAATCAAAGCTGGGGAACGACCTCGGAGAGGGACAAACACACATTTACCATTCAATTATAAATGGAATGAGAACATTTAAATATGTCATATACTTCCGTTTCAGGGAGTTATTTGACCGAATTTTCTCTGAAGACTTTTGGTCAGTGTTAAGAATGGATATAATTTTTTTTAATGCTCTAACTTTAGACTGTGGTATCAATTTACAAATCTAGGATGAGCCACCTCCTGAACTTGACACAAGAAATAACCTCTTACGTTTTTTATTAAGATCATAAACCGATTGATGTTAGACCACCATTGAAAACCTAGAAGCACTGGACTGCCGTCTCGTTCTATTGTCGGACTCCTCAGCAGTGCGCACCTACGACCCCGCTCGCGGGACTCGAGCCCAGGGCCATCAGTTTCGCACGCGAACGTTTAACCTACTGGACCACTGAGCCGGCATTCAGTGGTGTTAATGTCTAACCTCAACCAATCCACGAAGTTGCGTGACCATCTTCCATTGTACTGAGGTAGATACCTGTCTCTACCCAACACGGATTAGCTCCACTGGTCACGGCTTCTCACTAGAACTCCGAGAATTTTCTCACGAAGCTAGTCACTAGTGAGCACATGGTAATTATCAGTTTAGGGTTGTACAGATGGTTAAGTTTTTGATTGAGATCATGGGCCGATTGACGTTAGACCACCATTTTAAGTCCTTGTTAAAGCTTTAGTCTTGTGTACTTTTTGTGAGATCGTATTCTGTCTATGAGTTTATAGGTATCTATTATCTTATTATGAAACAATCAAGGATATTCGTAATAAGGAAAACACTGATATTAGTCTAAAGCCATCAAATAAAAACCTGACTATAGATTATAGAATGGCTGAGAGTTCTAGCCTTTTCGCTTGTTCAGATAGTTTCAGTGTCCATAGTTAAATAGTTGAATTTTAGTCAGACTTTGCCATTGTTGATTTAGTTAATCTATTTATCTATATACTTCATATCCCTTTTTTTCGCTGTCTTCACTTTTACTGAACGTAACGACGTGAATCATAGCACTCATGTATTATCTTCATAGTTAATTCTATCCTTTAATTAAAAATTATAATTTTTATGAATAAGTGACGGTGAAGACAGTTATATTAGTTTGTTAGAGACTTAAGATATTGCAAAAAAACAAACAGCAGAAGTTTTGAGATCACATATTTTTTTCATTTTTGTGAATGTTAAATGTCATAGCAACAATTAAGTTTAATAACTTACGTACTAAAGGTTTGCAGTAGTAACATAAAACCGAATTTGTTGTTTTCATAACTAAAAGGTTTAGTTTTTCAGTTTAATCTAAGGTCATATTACCAAAGTAATCAACGAAATATATTGTTGGATATGTTGGATAGGGGGTTAAAATGCCAGGTTAAAAAATAGACAAGTAAACAAAATGATAACTTGGTAGAGACTAATGAATATAGCATGGATAAATTCAATTTTCGTAATCAGAAATCAGTCGGGAAAGCATGTGGATAGTCGTTTTTATCTAGTTATTTTGAAAATAAGTTCATTTAGTCATATAATCAAAATTCTTTTTTATCAGAGGTAAAAATTTTGAAGTCTGATAGTTAAAAGTAATTATTAGTAATATATAAAGTGTATAAGGACTATTTCAATTTGAGCGTAGATTTCCTCGCTGGCTGATATAATTAAAAAGACCCTTGAAAACCTTTCAGTGATGGACATTTATTTATGACTAGCTTAGGATTTTTAAGCAATGACTAAACGATCCATTATCTTCAGTACTTGTGCAAAGTACTTTGCCTTTAGACTACCGATTCAGACTTCAATGATTAGCGTTTTCAACTTGAGTCGACTTGGTACATAGCACAACAACCATTCAATCATATCGGTAGGTAACTGTCACACACTCGAAATGGTTAAACTTTACCAATCATGAGTTGTTGCTAGAATTTCAAGAACTTGTCCTTAATCCAGTTAACATTGTGTGTTACTTAGTGGCTTCGTATTCGTTACGAGACATGGATTTTCTTCTTTCTATCCACCATGAAATTATTGGTGAGTAATGTTGAAGTCTCCTAACCTGGGATGGAGCTGACTGATTTTATGGTATTTTAGCTGATCTCAGTCTGTGAGTGACGCTAATCATCTCCCAGTTATTAGTGAGTTTACTTGATCAAGATTTCATATTTATTGGCAATGCATATTTGGAACCTAAAGTAATCTATCAGACTTTTAAAGCGGATTTGAATTCCATCATTTAAATCAAGGACTGACCCAAGTTAGGCATCTAGGATTCAACGGACAACAGTTTCAACCTAGTGCGGGACTTATCAGCCGTCCCCATACATAACCTTACTGAGGATTAGACTGAAAATCTTTAGGTCATACGGCCACCCAGTGAAGACTGAGTTGAAATTCAATGGTCTTCATGTCTAACTTTAATTGATTCTAAACAATAAGTAACCATCTTTCAATGCCATTGGTATGAACTGCCTTACACATTGCGTGGTTGAACTCTACTGGTCACGGGTTCTGATTAGAACTCCAGATAGTAGTCATTAATGAGTATATGGTTATTATTAGCATAGGTTTTTTTTATAACTGACCCTAATGAAATTACGAAACTTAGTTTAATGAATTTGGCTACTTGCTAACAATGACATAAGATTGAATACAAGGAGGTACAAGGTGAGGTCACGCAGATAAATGGTCACATAATACAATCCTAATCAACTGAATTCAATCAACAGAGATACTGAACACACTGTTATTAGGTCAGGGTTTAAAAATATGAGCTATCATAGCTTCAGTGATTTAAAAAGTCTTAGAGGTACATCATTTTACAAAGTTAGGATGCATTCTATAGATGGCATGAAAGTTAGTCACTAACTTTCTGCTTAATCAGAAACAATTAAATACTTTGATATGGAGCAGTTTTACGTTTTCTTTTTGGTGGTGAGTTGGTTTGAGTTGGTCTTAGTCTCATATTTATCATGATGAATCATTTTTGATATTTGTTTTCAAATAAATAGGTGTTTTTCTACAAGTTAAAATGGATGAAATAGAATGAAGTAATATCCCAATATGTTACATTAATATTTCTTATTATATTAGCTTTTCATACTGTTTAAGAGGATTTGATCAAAGGTTGGCAAGATGTGTAGTCATTTTTGAACTTCATTGGTTTCTCAAACAGTGAGTCAAAATAAGAATTACCAGTAAACAATATAACATGTTTAATCATAACAATCAGACATATGGAGTATACAAAATACGTTTATTGCCATTCAGTTCTCTGATATGAATGAATGTAAAAAGAATCATCTGTGTTAAAGATGATATTTTTGCGATATTAACCGAATGATTTTCAAATGGAATTAATCAACTTAGTAGATTCCATAAACGATTGCAAAATCAAAACATTTTAAAGAATAAATCATACCTTTTTCAACCCTTCACATAAATATGAAGATAAACAGTTTAAAGGTGAATAATTCTCTGTAGAGTAAAAACGACGAAGAAATAAAAATATAGAATGGTAAAATTTTCACAACAAAAAACCATAGTTTGTAAATAATAATGGAACACTTTCAGCTCTACTGCCATTCTGTTTACCTTGTATTTATTACAAAACGATTCATAAATTTCTGTGACACGTTGATTTAAGGAACCGCCTTCAATTCCACCGAATACTAACTTTTCTAATTTTAAAAATTCAATAGCTGTTGACACTAAATGCTGTGCAGGAAAAAAATCAAATATATGAAAAACATGAATAAAACTCAAATGTGATTTTGTATAGAAATTCTTTCTTATATTTCGCTAGTTTCAAAGACACCACAAGTCATTTGGTAGTGACTACAAAATTTATGAGTGCAAATAGATAATAATATCGTGGATAGATGTCTTCTTTGCTTCTTTCCACACTTGGCATTCATATATTATTAATAAAGTTTTATGCTCTATTGTTCATATTATTCTTTCTATTTATTTACAAATATTTTTACAGATTATTGTGATCTACTTTTTCGTATTTCTTTCTAAAACAATTCAAATACTTCCAACTGCTTCTTAATTATTGTCGCTAGGTCGACCGACTTTGACCAACAATAGGGACCTAGACAATATAGTTTTACTTGCCGATAAAAATGTTCACTTAGTATGAAAACATCTCGAACCTACAGGAGGTCAGTCCCAGTTCGAATAGCTCATCAGTAACGTCTGCAACTGTAATATCAAATGATATTAGTTCAAATCCTATAGATAATATCACTTTCTTAATGATTTAAAATATACCCAGCTGATAAGTCCTGAGCATTTCGAAACCTAGGTCCAGAGGTCCCTCTCGATTAACTTTATGCAACTAACATCAAACTCTGGGATAAGATTTTAGCTTATATTTTATCAAAAAATTGAAAGGAAGTTCGTGTATGAAATGAATTGTAAGAATAAGAAATTTATGTTATCAAAATTACTTACATGTACTGAATTAACACGTTCAACAAATGAATCATATCGACTAAAAGCCAATTCATTTTTAAATTCCCATAAAGTAATTTCATCTGAAATATTCAGTTTTTGAGAAACTATTTCAAAATATTTTGGTAAGTTTTCACGATGTTGATGATATATATTTTTAAATTTATGTAATATCTTCAAAGTATATTCAATTTTAGGTTGGATCTCTTCAGCTTCACCTTTTAATATATCATAGGGATCTAAATTTGTTCGACACTAAATAAAATAAACGGTTGGGGAAAAGATGGAAAGTGGCATAATTTAACTGGTTTATACAAACAGGATACTGTTTGAATAATTTATAAATGGTTTAAAAGCTAATTTATTAATGACTTATTGTGAATAAAATCAGTTTATATTTTTATTATGAGTAGAGATTTGAGTGTGACAGTTTGACATTCATTTTCAGAATAGTTTCACAAAGAGGCTATACAGTAATAATATTTGGCTTTTGCTTCTATGCAGAACGAAGTTCAATATATGTTTCTTAGTAGGATGTGATAAGCCATATAGAAAAAATATAACGAAAATGACCGTCAGCTAGATAGTGTTTGAAACCAATATCAGACAGATATTTCTCCCCAAGACGAAATTACCCTAAATACCGACTAAAGTTCATTTTATTATTTGTGGGCCAAAAGGTAAAAATCGATTCACAAATAATCCCAGTAGCAACTGTCAAAGTACCGGAAAGTACTTCATAATCTTTTACTAAAAGTCCAGAAAAGAATAAAGGGTATAGTGAAAAAAGAATAGATTATATACAAGAACCGAAGAGTCATCAGAGGATATATTAGATAATGACTAAAATAGGTAACCTACTTAAATAACAAATCACGTGGAAAATTGTTTTCCATTTTAACAAAAATGTGAACACCAGCGACAGAGTGAAAAAGATCATCAAGACAAATACCAACATCGTGTTTTATATGACTGAATCACTAATATTACAGAAGTCATGTGACTTGAAAACGATTTTCAACTTTTTTTTCTCGAACAAGTTTTAAGTTGAGAGTTCGACATTTATAGGATTTGAGTTAAGGTTATCCAACGTTTGTGAATAACCAGTTAATTGGAAGCTATCTGATCAGAGAAAATCTAGAATACATATTGTACGACCATCCACATGGTTAACATACGTGAATTAATTGTACAGTAAGTTAAAATGGGAAAGACTAACTTCTTAATCCACATCAATTTTAATGAGTAAAAAAATGAAACATTTTGCTTTTTACACAATATATTTCTCTATTTCAGGAAAATAAGGATATAACTATCCATTCGTTCAGGAATAATTATTTATGAGACATACGTTTTGTGAAATAGATCTTAGGACAGGATTCAAATCAGACTTATGGTCTGGAAAAGTGTATCGAACATAATTAAAACCTTTTTGTTTCTGAATTCGATGTCGAATTATCAAATGTAATGACAGAAGAATCAAAAGTACTTCTCGAATATTTTTATATAAAAAATATTGATCGGAATGATCATCCGATGGGAGTTACTTGTGAGTAGTATTAGTTTTTCCATTGATTAATAGAAAAGGGAACATCGTAATGAATCGAAATTTGAATAGTGGACAAATACTTCAGCATAGAAATTCTAAGTATGAAAAATGAATTCAAAAATTCCTGTAAATCGTCAATATTTAATCGACATGTACTTTGTTTTTCATACAACATAAATAAAATTAACTGAAACAGTGGAATTCTCATCAGGAATAACGTCAAGTATTTTTTAATCAGAAGATAATTTTTCAGTGATGATTAAATTTCAATTTCAATTTTGGTGTGGTCTAATTAGAAAGTATCCACAACATATCAAATCCATTCGTTTTTTAAATTCGCCTATTAAGGTTGTGTGCTATTCTATTATTTGTAGTTGCAACTTATTTATTATCAACATGACAAGTATGCAGAGGGAAACCTGACAGAAGCATTTTTACACAACCGATTTAATTACATTTAATATGTTTAAAGCATCTTGGAAAGAAATAAGATGGCTAATTCACTTGGTCAGAACAACTTACCTTGAAAGCATAAGCACTGTCTTTAGTTGTATCTTGTTAAATAGTTCTGAAGTTATTGTAATGTTAAATTCGTCACATTTTCAGGTCGGATAAACGATGATCTCTAATTCATTCTGTACCTTATCACTTATTTAAATTTAGAGCTCAGCTTGAAAATCTATCTTGTAAGTAGTTTTTTATTTCTATATGTTTGGACATATTTTAGTCTATAAATGTCAAATGCATCAATTCATCTTGCAATATCAAGTTGATAAATAATGTAGAATATCTCACCTCAGAAAACACAAACAACTGTCAACAAAATAATGAATGGTGAGAAAGAAAAGTTGTGTAGAGTTAACCCATAGAATATATGTAACCAGATAGTTGTATTTTTATGGCAGATTTTAACAAATATATGAATCGCGTTCTAAATTCTTACATTTAAACTACCAATAAATAATCATTCAAAATTATTTCAATAATTATCTCACTTGATTAATCATTAAATTACATAATTCCTGTAAAAGAACTAGTATTCTTGCTGGTTGTCGGTAGCCTTTAGAACTAGCCCATACTAAACAGATTAAATCAAAAATAGGTTCAATATGTTGTGATAACTGGTCGAATTCAGCTTGTTCCATGTCTTCTAATCTTGTACGCATCATAGTTAAATGCATGTCAATATCTTGTGCTTCACGTAAAGCTATAATAGAATGATATTAAATTTAAGGTTATTGAAATAACAACCACCGGTGAGAAAAGTTAAAAACTGTTGTTATAACTGAATTGACCTGATTAATAACTAAATAGTCGAGTATTCTCGATGTAAAATGTTATGTGAAGGACTGATGATGAGAAAAAGGTATTTACTATAATAGAGTGATAAAATACAATAATCATGGTGATCAGTAGCAAAATATTGCAAAACAGTTGTTTAAAAGGACAAGAGATTAATTGTCTCCTTTGAAATGTGTATAGAACTATCAGTATCTATAATAAAGGTGTCCATAACGGCCCGCAAAGTAATACTACATTTTGAGTTGGCAAAAAGTATTTATGTCTCAGGAATAAGGATTTAAGAAGTGTCTTTCTTCGTAATTAACTAATCTCTTTACCTGGAATTCGCCTGGTTGTTATCCATAATTGTGTGACCATTATTTGCACATTTATTTTAGTTTTTTTATCCCCTAACTTGATTTTTTGATCCCGTAGTTGTTAGTCCTTTTTCGTCTTGGTTAATAGACTGAATCAATTTCTGTGTCTACTGACTGATGATTGACTTGGTTGCCAGACTTCTAAAAATTGTCTGGTTTTCTTTGTGATTCATAGACAAATACTACTACGTCTTCCCGGTTGAACCCATTTCCATAAGTTCCCACACGCGTTGATATAAACAAGGGTGTTCAGTGTCGTTTAACAATTAGATGGCGTTTATATAAATGTAGCAGGTGAGAAAAACCACTGTGTGTTATGTTGAGCTTTTTTGTAGTTGATGCAGTTTATCTCGTGAATTATATTTGGCTTGTTTTCGTTTGTCACTGTATTTCTTGGCTTGAATGGTATAGACTGTATCGACTTCATCGAATTTTAAGCTACACCTAATCCTAGCAACGCTATTAACATGTTTGGCTTCTGGAAGATGTGCTTTGTCTTCTGATTTTAACTTTTGATTTTGTACTCGGTGATTGGTTTTAAAAAATTTCTTGATGAAGTTTCGTGAATGATCACTTCTAAAAATACATCTGTTAGTTACCTCTTTTTAATTCTCCGTGTACTGAGGGTGCTGCGATTTCAGTGTACGAAAACTTAGATACGGTAGATTAATATATCATATCATGAAAAAGTACACAGTGTCTTTATGAAATATGAAAATCATACATCGGATAAATCATTTGTATATTTTCGCTGAGTTGCCCTTTGCGTACTCCATTCTTCTTTCAATTCTGTTGTTATTCTGATTGCTCTCTGTTTCCCTTCCTCTTATCTTCATTTCAATCTTCTTCTGGTAAGTGTTCCACTTTGAGTTCTTGCCACATATTTCTTAGGTCTGTTCTCATAAGCAGCGCACACCATAAAATGTGTTTCCCTGTTTTGAATTAAGTTTGTTTACAGTTTCTCATATTGTAGCGGTTATCAGAATCAATATTAGAAGACGTGGAACTCACTTATATATCAGCTTAGTCCATACTGACCAAATAGTAAAATATAACAGTGACAACCTAATGACTCACAAACTCTATTCAGAACAGTGAAACACATTGCAGCACCTCCAGCACACGGAGAGCTCAACACGTCCAAGATTTCATTACTTTCAGCTCTGCCTCTAACAATAGTAGGAGGATAAAATCCTGCATTAGAATATGTCGTTTTGTTGAACCCATCAACCTAACGAAATTTATCGTGTCACAATAAATTTACTTACATACATTTACTTGTGAAACATCAATTTATTAGCAAAGTGATAGTAAATTCTATTATAGAAACACAGACTAACCTGTTACAATAGATTTAAACATCTCTTTAAATGGAACAAAGTAGCTACTATTAGCCTGCTCTAAAATTTGCGCCATTTGTTTGACTTTTGGTGTACATAACTGAGAATAGATGTTTTCAAGATTTGCTACTTTTGCTTTCCAAAAGTCCAGTTCCACCAATGGAGTGGGATGTAATCCACTTAATAATGGTTGAGATGAATCCCTTAGCAATACTTTGTGGATTTGATGTGACCAGTCAATGACAAGTGATTCGATAGCATATATAAAACTTCGATTAACCTTACTAGAGGATGAACAGTAAAAAAAACGGTAATTGATGGGTTCTTTTTAAACACATGAGTTGATGTTTAGCTGTAAGAAACAGTAGTTGAGGTCAATAACTATTTGAGTTAGTCTCTAATAAGTCGATGGTAACTGAATACTGGGTAATATGGTTCATTTAATCTAAAAGGATTTATTAAAACAAATAAATTAGTGAGGCATTTATGTAATACAACTGAAGTTTGGCTTCAATATAAAAGTTTTGTAGGATTTTAGTAAATGGTAATTCAAACGCAAACAACTTATTTATACTCTGTAAAACCCTTTTTAGTTCCACCTCTTTTAGTTACCTAGTGTCTTGCCGAATTTAATCACAAAATATTTGCGAGAATAAAAGCGTTCAACGAAACGGTAAAATAATGCACAAGTGCACTTAACTCAGTGTATTGGCGTTCTAGAGTGGAAGCCTCATATTTATGATTTACGACCGGAAGACAAACAGTTTGTGCCTCAATTCAGATAATAATCTAAAATCTTGTAAAACAGAAAGCCCTAATGAGTGTAGAATTTGAAACTGTTTGCGAATCTCCAGGTCCCACTGGCCATTTACTTACTGTTTTACACAAGAGAAAAAGAGCAAACTACTGAGCTCACTTCATGACTTTGGCAAATGAGGAAAAACGATAAATACTAGTCAAAATACACAAACAGTAACAACTAGCACGGTAGTGAAGGCATTTATTAAAGCATTTAAGTTAACATTTAGTCTAGTTGATGTAAGATACTTCTGGTTAAAAGTGAAAGTTGACGGACAGATACATAAAACAAAATATCTTCTCCAGGAGTGAACAAAATCAAGCTGCAATAATACAGAAAATAGGGATAAAAATGAAGTAAAAAACACAGAACAATCAGTGTGAATCGGTAGATATACATGTATCTTTCAACAACAGTAATAAATGATAGATTATGACATCTTCACTGTAAGTCGGTTAGCGTCAAATCACATTTGGTCGGTACTTAATAACTTTAAAGTCTTCTATGCATCGGTAAGGACTCTGATGCCTTAAAAAACCCGACAAATGTTGTGAAATTTACAGTTAACCACTACAGATAGTTAAAAATTTGATATGATTCTAGGTATAATATGTATAATATCACAAACTTTACTAATAGATTCATTGGTTTGGAATAACATGACACCTTTGTAGTAAGGCTGTGATATTATCAAGTAATGTTTAATCGCTAATCACACAATACATGCCGAATTCGCTCTGCGTTATGAATGAAATATTTTATATGCAATGAAAGAACACGACAACAAAAGCGCAAAAACGTCTAAGAGGCTTTCGTGATATATCTGAATAAAAAAAACTAGATTTGTGGTGCATATCAGATTACAACTGTAAATGGAACGTAAAATTTATCCGTAAATTGCTGTCAACTATCAATATCGACTCAAAGATTATTCAGCCCTAAAAAATTTGGAACTTAATGGATATCGAAAAAGGTAAGGATACATAAATAAAAATTAAGTAAGCGATATACCGTACAGTAAATAAGTACTGCGCTACTACTGATCTAATCTCTTAAGAAAGGATTCAACGGCCAAAGCGCTGAGATTATGTTTTTACATGCAGATAAAAATGAGATTTAATGAACAAATATCTACCCTTCTTTAACATGCTCCTTTAACCGCTCTTGTTCAATCGGCAGAGGTAAAAATGTCTTTCCTTTTGCCTGCCCAACGACAATATCCGTTTGCCTTTTCAGACCGTGTGCATATTTTATGACATCCTCATAAACAACAGATGGCCAAGAACTGTAGTTTTTCTTGTTAGACAAAACAGGGACAAGCACCTAAGAAATATGAACAGTTAGGATAGTTTAGTTACTTCGTCAACGAACACCGAAAAATGATCCAAAGGGCTGTATGAAAGATCACCGTAGAAGATATATTTCGTTATGACCCCATCTTTAGGAATAGCCTCTTTTGACTTCTTCATAAAAAAGCTAGCTTTGGACTTGGACCCAACAGGAAAATCATTTTCGGCAGTCAAAAAGCCACTCGGCAGCAAAAGAATGAAAAGTTGTGTGACATCAGGTTTTTCAAAGAAATTGGTGATTTTTTGTTTAATATCATCGGTATTCCACAATTTCATCCACTTATCATTTTTAAGTTTATGTGACGTCAGAATATACTCAGCAATAAACTCTGCCCTTTTGTCATCTAATGCAAGTTCAGACATGGCTATATGTAGATAGTTTAAGGAATAAATTATATAATGAAAATATGAACTGTATTTTGCTTAAATGACTGCTTTTAAAAATTAGGATCGTTGCTATGACAGTACAAATTGTTGTCGACTCATACAAACAAAACCATTCTGCGAACAAATTGATATTATACTTCAAAATATAATAAGAACAAAATAGACACTTTGATTATGATGTCAAGACTTGGCTATATGTTTACCATACATTGGATACCATAGTAACTTAGAGTTCCTTTCACGTTGTGAATGTTACACATTCGAAATTCTCCTTTACATCTTGTTTCGATTCCTAGGTTTCTTAGTCTAACTGCTGTGCTATTTCTAAATTTTATCATTCTCTTACACCATAAATGCAATTGGATTGCACGTTTTGTTTTTGTAATTGACTTTTCCCGTTATCATATCGCAGAACTAGAGGCGACTTGATTACAGTCTACAAATTGCTTAGTGATAAATTTGCACCTAACATGCCCTCATTTTTCTTGTCTTCCAAAACAGAGAATTTACGAGGACACTCCAAAAAAGTTCATAAGCCGAGAACAAATTACTTGTCAGCTGACTATCGACTTTCCCATCGAATCATCAACGAGTGGAATTCACTACCTCAGCACGTGGTTGAGGCTCCATCCGTCGACTCTTTCAAAAGAAAGTTGGATCAACTGAGAGACCACCATTGCCAGAACTAACATAGGCCATCGAGCCTCCTGTCCTTCCCAAACTGAAACATTCCATTCGGTTGTCTTCTGTCCCAGATCGTCTTACTCATTGTGCTTTCCACACTACTCCATCACAAAACTTAACTTTAGGTTTGATACAAATCTACCTCACTCTGAACGTTAATGAAAATAAGGCACTGGATCTTTATCTTATTCCAGTTCTTCAGTGCATGTTCTGTTCATGCGTCCACATGTGACTTCGATAAAATCGACCTTTCAGACTTGCTTGGACTATGGGAACCGTCTTTAATGAATTATTGACAGTTTCATTATGAATTCGTATAGTTGGGGTTAAATTGTTTATGTAAGGCTGAGTATATGTAGCTGTAGTATACATATCTGTTAACCTTCCACCAAATGTAACACTTTTAGGTTGCCTTAAAAATCTGTCAGGGATGCAGTAGAGGAACGATGGATTGGATAGGGTGAACTTAACTATATACTGTTTCTGACTATCTCTGGTTACTTCAAAAAACTAATAGTATTATTATAATAAATTGTCTGCGTGATTTATTCTTACATTTGGGCGAATGAATTATTCTAATGTTTTTAATCAACTCGTTACTTACATATCAAAGATTACGAACATGTTACTCTGGTCGCTTTTATACACGTGTGCATGGTAGTAAATTTTTGCCTGTCCATTTCTTGTATTTATTAAATAATACATAAAAAGTGAGTCACATTATTATTCACTAGGTTGGTGTATCTCCGAAATCTATTTTTTTCCATACATTCGTTGCACTTCTTATTGCATATCTGCAGTTCAGCGTTAACATCGTCGTTTGATCCAAATGGAGTAAATAATGGCAAGTACATGTTGCTTTACTAAGTCATTAATAAATTCTTGAGGTATAATAGGTAATATGTCAGGATAAAATTTGTGTCAGTGTATCGATAACAACAACTGGCAATTAGTTATATTTATCAGTACTCAAACTGGTAGTGACAGTTTTTAAAAACCTTTATTTATATATTAATTAAAGTAGCCAAGTGATATTTGTTTTATGAATTAAAGGGCATTCTTAAAGATCAAATTCATCAACGCATCATTTAGGCTGCACTTTTTTCGACTAAAAACAAGGGGCTGAGTGATGATATTAGTCTTTTCCTGATAAACTACTGTCCATGTCTAGTCTTTACAATGAATCAACAACGATACTTTTTCTGGTATCATGTTTCAGGTGTCTGTGACTTGGCCACATACCTGTACTTTACTGAGATTAGGTTTATTGCTTGCTAATAAGCATAGCCACTGTATCTTCTGGGTTATTCTAACCTGATTAGAACAAAAAAGGGAATGTGTCATGTTCAAAGTCATCCTCCACTATTTCTCATGTTCAGATTGTGTCCTAAGTTAACCTATGCATTTCTAGAATCTTACGTGAAGGCTATTTGGACTGTTTATAGCAGATTTGAGTCGGTTCTCAGAAATGAATTTACAGTATTCGACTGCATTTTTATGTCGACTACACTGTTTATGTAAATAAGAGTGTACGTGCTCTTGTCTAATTTCATAATACTTCTTAACTATCATAGTGTTCCGGAACTGAAGGCCAACGCAATGCTTTTCCAGATACGGTTCATTATGACCAGTTTGTATTTCTTTGTTTCTTGTCTTCTCTTTCTCAGCAGTTAGCAGGCAACCTTTTGAAACGCGCTATGAGCAATCTAAAAGGGATATGTTTCTAATTATAATGCTTTCAATCAATTTTTCTGGAAATCGGCTCATAGGTTGACACCGTATGGATTGCTTTTTATAGATAGGGGTAAAGGTGGTATCTTTTCACTCATTTAATAAAATACGCCCGGTTATTACAGTCACTATATTACTACGAAGGCAGCATCTTTATATATTTAAAGCTATCTAACCAACACAAGGTGTAGCCTATCTGATCCTATTAAATTTCACGTGATTAAAGTATTTAGTACATCACATCTGTTAAGATTTATAGAGAGCAGTCTGTTTTTTTTAAAAACTGAGCTTACAGTTAATTCTCTTTAGCTAGCGAGTATCTTTTTTTCAGAATATATGACCATAGTCTCTTATATATACTGTTCATCTGTCACATGAATTTTTTTCTCTTTTTTCGAGATCGATTGATAAGTTTTTGGCTATCAACCTGTGTAAAAGAAAGTCAATTAATGTTGAGCGTCGAATCATTGTGCCGATTCGGACCTTTTGGGCTTAAAAATAGTACTTTTGGATTGGAAATTTTAGACTGAACACCCTTTTATTTTAAGGGAATTAAATTAAAGATTTAATGAATCTTCATGATCATTTTTGAAATAGTTTGAAGTTTATTTGTTTCAGTCTTACGGAGAAATAGATTCTTTTATAATTGATGACAGTAATTATGAGCAGCACGCAATATGATTTATCCAATCAGTCTTTACATTCTAAAGTGAGACTCATAACATTTCGAACAAACAGATATTACTAGTAAAGCTACCTAGTTTGTGTCAGTCAGGGGTCTAATCGATTATAGTATTCGTGTTGATGAGTACCATAAAGTTAGCCAGATGGTCTGTTAGGAACCAGTTGACTGAGTACAAAACAAAGATAAGTATTGACTCGACGTTATGCTTTTTGGTGCATTTAGATTAATTTCATATGAAAGGTCGACATTCTGAAACTTTTTGGCATAAATTATTCATTCAAGTTTTCATTTTCATCCAGCACACATGCCAGTGAAAAAGAAAAGTGAAACCACTTGGAATAGTTGGCGGGGCTAAAAACCTTTAGTTGAAATTAGTAGATTGAGCGGTTTTGTCAGAGGATTTACAAACGTGGAAATATAATTTCGGTTTTTTAGTTACTGAAATTCATTCTGTGATGTGCAATTTGACACCATCGAGAAATTAAGTATGGAAAATTAACCCACGTATATTTTTTGTTGATATTCATTCCGGACAATGTCAAGTGATGAACTTGAAGAGCAACTTAAGATCTCTAAAACCATTACAACCGTTTATGATGGCTGTCTTAAAATAATCGTAACACGCCCTTCATCTGATCTTATTTCCCATATCTAAGAAGTTAGGCTTGTTACTTAGTCGAGAGGTTTTGTGCTTGTTTTACAATAACCACTGGTATATGTATTTTTGGTTTTTAATATCTCAATGTAGAGTAACGAATTTTACTTTAATTGTATTGTTTCATGTATTTACTAAGAATTGACTTGAATTAGTTTTCAAGAACGTTTTATTCAATTTACATAAAACAGTGTTAAATTCCTTAAGATTTCTAATCTAGTGAGAACTTTGTAATAGGAATAATTTTTCTTAATTTTGGTGTCAGGTGTTAAATTACACCATGAGAGAAGGAGAAACAGCTAGCACCAGGTATGTTGTAGTTATTGGCTATCGCCAAAGTGTTCCAAGTTTGTGCTTAGATAATTGTCCAAGCTCTGAGGATGAACCATTGTATACTGTTGCCAAAGGAGGGGAATATTCCGCCCGCTCAGATTCAACAATCAGCTGGGGAACAGAATCGTCGGAAAACTCAAGTCGTAATTTGTCTATACGTCCAGCTGTATATCCACCTTGGGCAACACATCTGCCATTAGTAAGATATCATTTCGATTGTTGACATTTCAGACTTCTTTCAACAACACGGAAAGCAGAGAAGTAGTACGCACTTTTGAGGTAGGTGGTTATTTAGCATTTAAGACATTCAAGAAAGGATAATGATGAAGATTTATCTTCGTCATGTGGCGATATTACTCAGCGCATGTGTTCCGATCTCGAAAAACTGTGGCGAAAAGAATCAGCTTGTAAAGCCCCTGAATGCGAGGTAGACGACATTACATTTTTTGATAACTCAGTTGTAGAATATCACTCCAAGAAACCAAACATCACGTAGTTTCAGTAGTATGGTTACACCTAAGCAGTTGATTGACTACTCAATCCGTCAGGCACCAGGTCTTTCAAGGTATTAATTTATTCTTCTGTTTCTTAGTTACCTTTATTTTTCGGAACTTCATTTTACCCATGTAAAATAGCAATTAAGTCATACCAGTTTTAGTGAATGCTGATAAAAGTAAGCATTTATGTGAGAAAGGATAACTTTAAAAGTCATTCAACGTTATTATCACTCAAGATGAATGTATGAAACTGGGAGTCATGGAAAAATGCAATGAAATGAAAATTAACTAACCTTTATGGCTGCTTTTTAACTCCGTTTATTGGTAGGGATCTTTAAATCTAGAGTGACGTACGAGAATAAGTAATTTTTGCAGCAATATCCTTAGTAATATATTTGGATTTACAATGTTTCTGTCCCAGAAATCAACTAGTACTTTCGTGTACAAGTGATTGTATGATAAGACTGAGGATTTGCAAAAGTAATTTT